GCTGGAACAGCTGGCTGAGGAGGCTGGCTTCCCTGGGGGTAGACAGGAGGCGGGCTGGGCATGGGAGTGTCTGGGTGGACAGGAGGCTGGCTCTGCTGAGGAACAGCAGGGCTGCTGGGCTTGGGGATCTCCGGGGTGGCAGTGGGGTAGCTTGGGGGAGGACCTGTTGGATGTTAGGGTATGTATCGGTGGTGATATGATTGCTGTTCGAATACTGACCAGTCACGTAGACGGTGGTGTAGACAGTGCAAACATCCTCCTGGGCAGCCGCAGCGTGATCGTGGCGGCGCTGGTGGAAACCAGCATGAGCCTTGTGCTGGGAGGCAAAGACCGACCCAACAAGGGCAGCTGCAACAAATGCGTACTTCATCTTGAAATCGGTACGGGGTTTTGTGGTAAACTAGGGGTAGTGGTGCTAGTCCGCTGAGCGAGTGAAGCGGGTATTATTAAGATATAAAACGTATAAAGAGCGACTGGGCACAATAGGCCAAAGGGACTTGTCAACGAGGCGATGCGTAACGAAAAGCCTTGCGTAACGAGGAAAAAAAGAGTTCAAAGTCAGGCTGGAAACCCGGAGCTTTTGAGTGCTGAGCCATGGCCTGTGAGCTGACCAGGCCGTGGGCCGCTGTGGCTCAAAAGGCGTTAGTTAGGGGCCCTGGAAATTACTGCGGCCCTCACTGTACAGGAACGGCATGGGCATGCTGTTACCGGCTCTATTGAGTTCGTGAGTTGCCCCGAGCGGAAATGACATCTGGGGTATCGCAGTCATGTTGGGTGGAGAGCGGATCGGCTCTAGCTGCGGATGTGGCTAAGCGCCTTCACCCTGAACAACCTGACCAAGTGCGTCACAGCAACAAATACAACATCCGCCTTTTGGCACCAGCTGTCTTCTGCACACGACAAACTCTATCATCCGCGCAGGCATGTTGCGCCTGTCGGAGTAGCCCACAAAACTATCTCGTATTGCGTCACCGCCTCCCGCTCGTGTGATGACGGCCGACCACTGGCGTCCTGGTCTGGCGAATCGATGACATTCCGGATGGCGGCAGTAAGACGAAGCATTCACGCGTGGTTAAATGTGTTGTGCACCTCACAAGGCGGAACCATGGCCACAGCGCTAGCCGATATGCAGGTACCAAACGGTCTCGACAAGGAATCGCCTTTCTGACCGCTGTTTTGACTGGCCGAAGCTCGTATTCATAACAAGGGTGGGTAACGGTAGACGAGGCTGGCGTGCGCCCCCTTATCCACACGACTCGACCACACCACCAGAAATAGGACTCCGGCTATCGATGATGGACGTCACTAAGCTCTCTGGTCAGGTATGTCTGTCACGCTGCAACCTTATTATACATTTATGCGAGTACATCCAGTCGACGGCGAAGCTGCGAGAAATGAGATCAACACATACCGCCATTCCTGTGCCGCGGAACCACTTGCGGTCCAGGCCATTCGTCTAGGGAGGTTGCTCATTGTGCCTGTATTTGAATTGCCGATTCTGATTCGCTGCACACGATGCGGAACATGGTCAGCCGACCATCGCTCTGTGCCGCAATCACAGGCACATCACTTCGATTCCACAGCGCTAAAAAAAAAGCTTTAATCCAGGGGGCCAGCGCGGTCATTGTTATCATATAAAGGGTGAAAGAAGCATATGTAGTATGTTCTAAAACTAGGTCATGCTGACCAAAATCTCTCCGAGCCGCTCAAGATGTCATTGCAGGCGGATACTATTTACACATCAGGCCAACAAACCACTAAAATTATCAATTAGGCTTGGATGCTTTAGTATCCAAGGCATTGATTGTCTTGCTTGCCAGAGAAGAGAATTGTTCAACTCTCCTATACCAAGTCTGGGCGTCTCCTGCTCAGGCCGTGCCTATCCCCCCTGGCCAGAACAGTATGCTTCCAACCTATATATACACTCTTTTGCCCCGGCTCCACTAAAATCCCCTTCCCTGCTCTTGGCCGTCTTGATCACCGCCTCCATGGATCGTGGAAACATGTGTTCTTCATAATCCCTGACACTCTTGTCTGGATTCTTCCTACGGCTGCACGCTTTGACTGTGTCTTGTCCCAACACAAAGGCATTCTTCATGACAACGTTGGCCTCCTTCACCATTCAACCATGCAAAAAAGTGCGCTTCATCTCCAATAAATGCTGTTTTTGGACAAAGCGGCCACTGAAGACCCACCGGCAGTTCGTAGAGGTTGCGCGCCCCTAATGCACGAATGTAACAGAGGACAACGCGCCTCAGATCATCGTGAACATGCAATAAGTAACGCTCAATAAATTCTTCTAACCATTTCCAAATCTATTCAAAGACGCGGCAAGTCTCCACGAAATCTTGAATCGCCCTAGAAAAGCGCAGGTCCGCAGACTACCATCACCATATTCTCCCTAACATACTGCGCGATTCAGCCATCCATCTCCATATCTGCGTATATCAGTAATTCACTCGAGACATCAGAATCCACCTGCTTCTGATGCGACACCGCCTTGCGAACTTTGGACCACTCACCATCACCACAATATCCCATCTGCATCTCATCCCGTCTCGCATTTCTTCCTCCCCCACTCCCATCCCCCAACACCTTATCTCACCACGATACTCATTATCTCAAGTACCATCACTCGTGAGCCTCATCATTTGCAGGTACAGATACTACCGATGCGCCTCGCGGAGAAGTCGTGATTGTAGATTGTGTATGGGAATGCTGTGGCTTTGGAGACTCACAGGCAAGGACGAGTGGGGATATGTGACCGGTGCCTACGGATGCTGAGCTTGGTATCGCACACTCGTATTTGGGGGGACGTCAAAGCCACAGGACACGTAGTATGCTTTTGTATTGTTTGATTGTGTTTTCTGCTTGTAAAATCACAATATGTAGTTTTCTGTGTGTGAGAGAGTTGGATAATATCAGATGTTGGTTATGTGATATGGGTAGGTCGAGTTGTGGCTTACTATTTTGTTTTTGTTTTTCGAGGAAGTCCAGGTTAGTATGGTGAATGCGAAATAGTTAGACATTATTCCATTTAAGTAACGAGGCATAGGAGTGAGTAAATTGGGTTTTTGCATCGTGCAAAGAATCATACCTGATATTGCAAAAGCCCACCAACCCACTCTCTACAAATCAACAATCCCATGTACAAAATTTCCAGTAACTTTGGTAGCCCAAAGGAATAAATTTAGGAACACAATCTTTCCCCTTGCTTACCCCCCCTCCCCCCCCCAAAAAAAAACAATCTTTCAATCTCATCTCTCTTTATACTTTGATCTGACATTTTACCTCGACATCCACAGCCCACAGCCACCTTGTTTTTCTTTTCTCTTGGCTGCGCTGCGCAATAATAGGCGCGTTTCGGGTGTCACTTTTTACTTTCTTGGGACGAATGCGTACCAAGTCCACTAACTAGTATCTCACACCTCAGCCCCAAACCGCGTCTTGGTGGGTACACTCGGACGCGACACTAATCTGTACCACTGCGTAGCGGACTGCGCCACGCCTGGCATCACGTGTGTTTCTGACCTATGGATTCAAACCCGCGCCTAGACTTTGGCGCAGTCATGTGTTTTCTATACCAAGCCGGAGTTTGGTTATATGCACAACGGGGGATGCTGGTACTACTCTCATCGTTTAGTTCTTCTTCTTCTCTGCTTAATCAACTTAGGTACCCATTACGTGGCTTCATAGGGAATAAACACAGGAAACATTTGTTGCACAAAGTCTGGTTTTTGTTTCTTGAATAGTTGCCGAAAAAAGCAACTACGAACGCGCCGGGTACAGCATGCGCTTTGAAAAAAGATGGTTTCCTGGTGTTTCAAAATCACGTGATGTTTGCCCAGCTCAGCACTACGTACTTCGCTGAGGCTCGATGCTTGGTATCCATGCTATAATTGGGTAAATTAATATAAAGATGTACGCTTTTATTGCAGTTAAATTCGATTACCCCCGGGGATCTTGAAAAAAACACAACAATCGTGCAGCAGCGGACGCCATTGCATGCTCAAAGCACCCTGGAGTGTTGAGGGGAGATGGACGGCAAGCGACTTGCTACCCGACTGCGACAGTGCGAATTACGTCGTGGTGTTGGGTCGTGCTCTTCCAGGGCACCACAATTCTTGGAAAAAAGTCCCCAACAAGTCTTGACTTTCGAGTGTCGACATCCACGTCATCGGACCCTTGATCAATAAATCCAGTCAGCCCAAGCCTAAGCCCGCTCGTCCACTTTTTCCTAAACCAGGTCTTTTGGCGGCCAACGGGATATTGTGGACTGCGTTGCCAATCCTTACTTTTACCGCGTCAAACACCGCATCTGGTGTTTGAATGTACTCGGTGGCGTCGATTTTTTGAATCAGAGCCGTCCATTCAGCGTCAGGCTCAGTCAAGTTCCAGGCTATGCTGACGTGGAAATATGGTGAATAATCATGCGTCTGAGGGTCATTCTTGTCGACCTTCCTTCTCTTTGGCCTATGGTCGTGGTCGACGTCTTCCATCGGGCCGTCTCCCGCATCGCCGGTATACAAGGCTGGATGTCCGGTACTATTAGCAGCTTGGTTGCATGCATGGAGTAGGGTGTTTAGCTGGTCGTTCTCTGGTCTTTTGATGGCAAGTGCTAAGAACCAGCGGTTGCGCTCAAAGTTGGGCACCCATTTCAAGCCCTGAAACTCGAAATTGAATACGGGTACTGCGCATCGTCGCAAAGAAGCACCGAGAGTGTCGAGAAATGTTTCTCTGTCCTCGGTCTTAATTTGCAGCGTACGCGACAATGAGACATGTAGAGGCAACGGCACGCCTAGGTCTGACTGGAGCGAAGGCGTAATGTCTTGTGGTACTGGCAGCTTCTTTACACGCTTATTGTTTTCAAGTTCGAGTACACTCTTCACGTGCTGTATCAAGTTGAGCAGAGCAATGGATTCACGCTGTGTCGGTATCCCTCCAAGGCGTTAGCCTGTCGTCCGTCACGTGCGGGATGCCATGTTGGTATCCTTACACTCTAGATAGACATGACTGGGCCAATTGCCCTGAATATGTGCCACAGCACGTCGACGTCCACCGTGGAGGTCTGGATTGTCGCTAGTGCTGACGCGGGCGTTTACCGCGTAGAGGTCATGGAAAGCTGGCGGGAGCGGTGGCAGAGCATCGCTGGGAGTGGGTTTGGGCTTCGTAGCGGCAGCATCAGGCTTGGTGGGCGGATGTGCAGGCTGAACAGGGTGGACGGGGGTCTTATCATGCTCCGTCCCCTCGTCGTCCGAGGCAGAGTCCGGATAAGCGACGAGGGCCATGTTGGGGCTCGATCGCAGTTGGTGAAAGATCACCTCTGCTGTCGTCACTCGTGGATAGACCAAGGACCGGCCCCACTTTAAGCCTAGCGCATCCGCATGACGTACGGCAGCGATTGGGCCGCGTTTGGCTTCACCCAGAACGAGAGCGAGCAAAAGAGAACTGACGCAGGGCCGCGACTGAGCCGCCAGCATGTGTGTGTACGCGTCCCACCCAGCCATTTAATCATGCCCGTCTCCCCTGCCCATTGCCTGTTCCTACTTTCCATCTCTCCTACTCCATCTCCATCATAATCACTGCCACTACAGCAACACTTGGCTGCTTTCTCCGGTCACGCCATATTCAAAAAACAATAATTGCGCCCGCAGTCTGGCCAACACACCACCGTCCCACACACTCAACACCATCACAATGGAAGCCGTACGTCCGGTTTGGTGCGCAGCCGAATACACATGCTGACTCTCACAGGCACAACGAGCAATCATTGATCCTCTGATCGAGCCGGACCCAAGCGACGAGACTGGACTCAACAGCCACTTTCGCTCAACTTTCGCTCCCGCTGCTCCAATCACACCGCCTGGTGAATCCCCCAAGGAGCACCCCTCTGTCAACATCCAGCATACCGGCAGTTCAACCAGCACAAACCCGTTTCGTCGCTCTAGGGCTGCGTCAGATACTAAGGGAGCGTCTGCCTCAGTGACCAACTATGGATATTCTTCTTCACACAGCAGAAGGAACGACTATCCCTCCCCTCCCAGCTCCGCCAGCCCCAAGCACACCCGGTTCCCCAACAATCACCGTGCCGAAGCCTTCGGATCCATGAATGAAGCTAAGCCACGACGAGCCAGCAACCCCCCACCATCCACGTTCAACAACGGCCTCTCCCGCGGAAACTCTCTGAAAGAGCGCTACCCGGGTGACAAGTCTCACCGGCCACTCGACCAGCTGCGCCATGATGAGAAGGTTGCTCACCGCGCTCCACACTTGAGGAAAAAGAACATGCAGGGTGCAGACGTCATTGACCGCCTCGACAAGGCAAGCATCCTTCGTTACCACCACGAGGGTCCGTACGATGCCGCCAGCATTGCCCGCAACAGAGTTGAAAAGTATAGTCCCCTTGCGGCCGTCAAAGACTCGAACGAGGAGGCACTGAAGGCTACTCCCCGCGAGAACATTATCGACTCGCTTCAGAGACATCGTCCTCTCGAGGGCGTTGCCAATATCCCACCCGGCATGCCGGATCGTTTCGGAAGGGTTCTCGAATACGAAGAGGGAGCCGACCTGCAGCGTGAGCCTGGGGGTGATTACCGCCGCTGGCCTGGTGTCGTAAGTTCCATCCTGCAACCCATCTCAACAAAGTCCGCCTGCTAACAATGCCGCAGCAATACCACCCCGACGACCTCAAGGGCAAGGGTGAGCCATCGTTCACAATTGAGCGTGCCCTCAAGGAACACAAGCGTACCGGCGACAGCGGCACTGAGATGAAGACGCGCAGCCGTCGTGCCCATAGTGCTGGCCACACTGACGCGTACGGCTCCAGCAGCAATGATCATGCTGAGAAGAGCATGGGCAGTGCAATCAAGAGACGTATCGGCAGTCTCCGTCGCCGCAAGCAGGACCCAGAGGTGTAGAATGCCTCGCTGTTTCCGCGCTCAAAGCGGTTCGACCAGATTCCCCACGCTCACGCTACCCATTGAACCGGCGGTTTATCCCCCAAAAAAGAAATTGTACCAAAAAAAATATCATACGAAGCTAGCAGGATTACTGGAATTTTCTTTGTTTTTCTCTTGTCTCTTTCTATCTCATCGTTGTCCAGTATCGATCATCTACTAGCGTCAACAAGATACCTGCAAGCATTACTCATACACGTTTTCTTTTCTTTCCTTATCTATACTCGATTTTTCTGTTGTTGGCGCAATCTGTAGGGGGGATGCAAATGACCCCTGGGCTGCTTTGGGGATCCCTGCTGTACGATAATGTGTAGAAAGAAAAGGGCAGTTGCAGACTGGAAACGAATTAACGCAAGCAATCATATACCATTTTTTGAAAGATTATTGTTAGACATTAGATACTTGAATCGTACAGGTGTATGTATGTGCTTGTGAGTGAAGAGGAGGAATAAAGAGGAAAAAAAAGATGAGACGTTTCCAAAGATAGAAGACCGAAATGTTGCAGCGGTATAGGGTATGCTAAGGAAAAGATTCCAGGTGAGTAACAGGAAAAAAGGAAAGTGAAGAGAAAGAAGAAAAAAAGAATGCCACTGCCCCAGACTAGCCCTTCATTGCAAAACATATGATTGTCCAATTCTCCCAATTGTCGTGTTGTTCATTTTCATTTTCTCATAGTAGACAATGCAAACCAATTTCGTTTGCACATCTACTCGTCCTGTTCCTCGACAGCCTCATTCTTAACCTTGGCAGCAGCCTTGACAAGCTGCTTGAGACGCTTCTCCATGACTGAGCGTCCTTCGAGCGTCTGCCAGACCTGGTGTGGCGCCTTGTTGACCACATCCCAGCTGACAAGGTTGTCCGTGAGATGCGTCAAGTCCTTCTGCTTGCGCTCCCACTCGCTGTTCTTCCTGACCTCAATTCCACTCGAGACAACGACAAGTGGCGTGTTTGAGCTTTGAATGTTTCGTGCGGCAGAGACTTCGTTCTTGGTCAGGCTGTCGGCAACAAGGTTCTCCTGAAGCTGCGCCTTGATGAATTTGCCAGATTGGTAGGCATTGCGGCCGTAGACGCGGTCTTCACGCGTGCGGCCCTTGAAGAGTGCGCCTGCGAGGCGGACGGTACCGAGAGGCGAAATAATACCCCAGGCCCAGAGCAAGAATCCACGTCCAGGGTTGCCGATGCGGTGGAGAAGATCTTCATGGAGAGGATCGACCATCATGATGCCCGTGACCTGCTTCAAGTGGCGCGAGCTGAAGATACGCGAGACGATGCTGCCAGTGCCAGCTGAGACAAGGATCCATGGTCCTTCCTCACCAGACCTAGCAAGTGCTTCAGAGAGGGCATCTGCAGACATACCGGCCGAGTGTGGCGAGGGAGCATTGTCGGAGAAAGCATAGCCGGGACGGTCCCAGTAGCAGTAGCGCGAGATGGTGCCGTTCTTGTAAGCTGCGTAGGCCCAGTGTTCAAGGTCATACTCCAATGGTTCTTCACCGGCCTCGAGAATGACGGTGGGGTCCCTTGAGCCATGTGTTTCCGTCACATTGCCAACGCAAGCCAAATGGACCGCGTACTTGTCTCCATCTACCAAGATGCGGTCACCGTACATCTTGAGTGTGGCGTCGCGGCCGCGCAGCCCCAGGGTGGCCGTCATCAGAACGACAATGATGATGAAGATGACGGTTACAATGGTAGCGACAAGAACAGCAACCCATTCCTTCAATGTACGGCGGGTCTCTGCGCGTCCAGTAAGACGCTCTTCCTCCTCTCGCTTGCCGTATGCAACAACGCGATCAGTCAAGATGCACCAGACAGCCATCAAGAAGGCCCAGATGACGCTTGCAATGCCAACCCAACCCTCTTCAAGTCTTATACGTGGAATTGATAGGATGAGGATCATGTCGATAGCCAAGAGACCGGCAATGATGGATGTGGTGATGCGCAAGCCCTTGGCCGGTGTAATGAAGAAGATGGTGACTACGAGGAGGTTGCCGATGGTAAGACAAGTGTAGGCGAAGTCGAAGAAGCCCGAGCCGCGCGTGTGTAATCCAGGAGGAGAGACGAAGATGGAGACCAATAGGAGGACCCACCACAAGAAGCTGATGATCAGGAACAAGATGGTGAGATAGCGCATAGCCCGTACGGTCCAGAGGTTGTAAGGCGATACCTGCAGCCATTGTTAGTACGAGATGTTGTATGCTGAGAGTGTTTGACCTACAGCTGGGTCATCTGGGTCGAGATAGCCATCTGAATTGGGTGGTGGCCTAGGACGGTCCAAAAGTCTGGTCCTCTCGTTGGGCTCCTCACTTCTCCTGAATGTCGTAGAGCCTTCATCGTCGTTGGGAATTGGGTAAGGCTCCTCGTGTGCGAGGCCATTATCGCCATTGTCCTTGGCACCTTTCCACATGGTGGCAGGCGGAGGTGTTGTGGATAGGGAAGCCCGTGTTGCGTATGTAGGTGTGATTGAGAAGAGTAAATCAAGATGAGGCAAATCGTAGGGCTAGTCGTGATTTATTTGAAGGGAGAAAAGAAAGAAGAACGTCCTGTGAAGCTCGTCGAAGTGATGAAAGCGTCTTGGGGGCGCGGAGGTTTTACTGAAGCTCATGGCGCTAGGAGAGGCGGGATCGACATACGTCATCATGGCATGCATCCAGGCTCGCGGGCACCCTAGTCGCAAATCATAAATCCAGATCCCGCAGCCACGCCCGTGTACATATGTATGTGTACATGTATGTAGCAGATCGGATACACGTCACCCATGTCCACGGCACGGTCAATAAGCTTGGCCAGCCTTGTGTTGTTCTCGCCTATCGTGCACATGGCACTTCTCCACAGGGGATCGAGAGACTGGGTCCGCCATGGGCGAGTCTCGTGTCGTGAATAACTCGCTTAGACGTACCCAGAGCTCTCATCCCTGCCGGCGATTAGTAGACAGGACCACCCCACTGTGTTAAGCCCCCCTCACGCATTGCCCTTCCACCGATCCAGGCATATAACTCATCGGAAAGCTGCATAACGTGCGCCCTCATCGCCATTAGTGGACCAATCAACTCACCGCGGACCCCAACGCATACCCAAAGCCTGCTTTCCGACACTCTACATACAGCCTCGCCCAAGCTGCCATGTCCAGTCTGGCCAGAGAGTTTGCCAAAACCAAGCTCTCTTCCCTGCCGCCGCCTGAGCCACTGCAGGAAGAGCCGCCCGAGTACGAGGATGACTCGTCCTCAGCCTCGTCAATGTCAAGCACTGGTACAGTCAGACCGTCCAATACGCTGAGACCCGCCCCCGCAATCCACTGGTCCGATTACTTTGCCCAGGAGTTCTATCTCGAACAAGATCGCAAGGACGCGGGCCATGCAAAGTTTCATGTCTACCTCACACCGCCAGCATCATCAAAGGCCCCACTCATAGTACTGCATCATGGCGCCGGAAGCTCTGCAATGACTTTTGCCTTGGCCGCCAAGGAGATCAGGAAGGCCATGCCAGACATCGGCATACTCGCTGTCGAAGCACGCGACCATGGCAGCGTAGTCTGGGATGCTAGCGGACAAGTGGATACGGATCTAAGCATTGCCCAACTTAGCCAGGATCTACTGGATATGATTCTGCTCACCCAAGCCAAGATGGGTTGGGGAGAACTTCCTACGATTGTCCTGATCGGACACAGTTTGGGTGGCGCCGTTGTTACCGACGCCGCCAACAGGGGACTGCTAGGCAACAAGCTAATGGGTTTTGGAGTCCTAGACGTAGTCGAGGGCTCAGCCATGGAGACGCTGGGACACATGCATACCTACTTGGCTAGTAGGCCTAAGTCATTCCCGTCGCTGCCTGCTGCTATCGAATGGCACATCCGTTCACGCACACTGCGCAACCCACAATCAGCCAGAGCTAGCGTGCCGAGCTTGTTACTACAAGCCTCAGACGGACGATGGGCATGGCGGACAGAAATCTCAAGCACCGAGCCGTATTGGGAAAACTGGTTCACGGGAATGAGTGGTAAATTTCTCAGCGGCAAGGGAGCCAAGTTATTGCTGCTTGCGGGCACAGACAGACTGGACAAGGAGTTGATGATAGGACAGATGCAGGGTATATTTCTCAAAAGGCTATTCTGCTGCTCTTATGACATCTAACATTATGCAGGTAAATTCCAACTACAGGTGTTTCCCGCCGCCGGTCACTTTCTTCACGAAGATCTCCCCGAGAAGACTGCCGAAGTCGTAGTAGAGTTTGTAAAACGCAACGACAGGAGTACTCTTGTCCTTCCACCCAAAGTTTCCGATATGCTTGCGCAAGGCAAGCGGGTATAGAGGTGCTGTTGCATACAATGGCTTCTCTTTTTAGCAAACATCTTCGTATAAGTTGACGCCTTTCATACGCGTCTATTATCGGCGCTTTGGGCATGCTTTGCTCCGCTTTTACTTTTCTCAAAATCTTAACTTTTCCCAGTTTTCGATTCCCACAGGCCTACTTAGAATCCAGGTCTGCTTAATACCCGAGCCTATTCATGGCGAGGCCGGCCCCTCACCACCTTGTGCCTCATCACCACCTTCAGCTTTGGGCTTATGCTTTCTCCTCCTCTTACGCGGCGCAGAATCCTCATCCTCGTTCCCTCGACTGCCTCCTTCGGTTACATTCAATGTGGATGGCCGTGTCTTCTTGGTAGCACTCGACTGCGCAGCCGTCTTTTCCTTCTTGGGCTTCTTGACACTCAGCGGATTGGGGCCCTTGGGGCCCTTTCGTTTCTTGGGCTTGGGTTTTGCATCTCCTGTAGATTGTTCCTCAATAGAGCGACTGCCATCACCGTCTTGTCCCTCGTCTCCTCGCTTCCTCTTCAATGGCGCATCTGGCTTGCGCTGTCCTTTGAGCCCCAGTTTGAATTTTGATTTTTCTTCTCGCTCGCGGTGCTGCTCTGTGATTTCAGCCATAGACTCCATGAGTACCACCGACTTGGCTAGGTATATGATGGGTACACCGGCAATTGTTCGCATCTTTGCGCGCGTATCTGAATCATTGGCCGCAACTACGTATCGGTGCTTGTTGGTCGCACTGTCTTTAGGATCTACGACAGAGCTTAGACAGTCGTGTGTGCTAAGTGGTTCATCGAGGTCTTGATGGTTGCATCTGCGGCGCTCGTACTCTTTTGCTTGTAATATGAGGGTCTCGTTCTTGGGCTTCGCATTGTAGAGGTGTCGCATGTCGCAAGTGGTAATCATGGGCTTGACTTGTCCACCAAGCATCTTCTGGATGCGCGCGATAAGGTCGATCTTGAAATTGTATGCATCTTGCAGAATTTGTGAATCGAGCAGAACTTGGTAGGGTTCGCGGAATCCGAAGTTGACTTCGTACTGATGAAGCTGCTTCTTGTATGCCTGTGCTGCTGTTAGTGTAAAATGTAGAGACAGTCAGAAAGCAATTCGAGCCTACTTTTGCGCGCTTCAGCTTCATGGCGACGGTGTGTGTTGGTGTGGTGGATGATTGCGGGCAAGAAATTTACGTAGGAAGGCGGCCAAAAGTTCAAACTGCGCGCGGAACCTAGGCCGTGCACCGGACACGCTAGCTGCGGATTCGGTACCCTGCGGCAGGTAACGACACCCCCGTCCCTCTCCGCATTCGTCTTGTAAATCCGCCCCGAGCGCACCAGGACCACTTGCTCCCTCTTTGGTCTTTGCTTACCCCCTCTTCACCTACACAAACGCCGCGCCTTTCCGCAATTGACGCCAAACCGCTCGGCCTCCTCATGCGTCTCCTACGGTAGTCCCACCAGAATGAGCGAGAACCCCGCCGAGCCCTCCAAGAATGAGGGAAATAGCACAAAGACTACCGAAGCAAACAAGGACACCAACCAAGAAGTTGAATACGATGACTTTGGCCTGCCGATAAGGAAAAGGCGACCACGCACTCCGGTCGAGGACAGCTCAGACTCGGAAGTAGACAAGTTTGAGGATGCCGTAGCTTCCAAAGAGGACAGCGCACAGCAGGCCATCGCGCCAAAGGCAAAGGAAGATACACCGCAAGAAAAGGAGGCCAAGATTGAGACTCCATCAGCCAAGCCAGAGAAGATTGAGGCGGAGAACAATGCGCAGACTCAAGTCAACGTAGAGGCCACAGTGCCAGTGGAGAACCTCAAACCGAAGGGGCCCGAAAAGATGCCTGAGGAACAACCCGAGAAGCTGCCTGAGGATAGACTCATAGAAACGAACCTAAATTCGCTAGCATCCATAAAGTCTCCCTCAACCTTCGAGCCTCCAAAAGGCGTAAATGGAACCATATCCGAATACTCACACCAACGCCTCGTCACGCAGCCACAAGATGATTTCAAGGACAAGGTGGAGGAGGATGACGACGACGGATGGCAGACCATGCCTGCGTATGCTCACTACGACATGTACGACGACGATAACAGACTTATTGCAAAGGAGAATGCAGAGGAGCTGGAAGACATGCATGGCTACGGAAACGTCGGAGGAGCCGCCAAAGGTTATACCAGGGTTATCATGGATGATGACGCCGATTCGCAGACAAGCATGGATGACAACACCGCATACCTCTTCAAAGAAAAAAGCACCGCGTTGGCAGATGAAGACGAAGAGGGGAGAGATCCACGCCAACAGATGCAGGCCACCAAAAACATCCTCACCGAAGGACAGCGTGTCGCATACGTCGGACTGGTGCGATTGGCCACCAAGGAAATGGAAAGGAAGTTTGCCAATTTCAAGACAACCAGCAGAAGACTTAAGAAGCTGCTAGAGCTGCAGTCGGGAACGACAAAAATGTGGTCACAAAAGGTCATGGTCAAGATATATGCACACATGGATATCAATGCTTCTGAGCAGATTATGATTGAGCAACTGTCAGAGCATGGTGTAGTTCCGGCCGACCTCACACCAGCATTAATGCAGAATGCGCGGGTGAAGAACCCAGTAGCAGATGACATAGACACTGCCAGCGGATCAGGTTCTGCAAGACCATCTATATCATCACCCCGTCCTGAAACTCCAGCAGAGAAGTCCAAGTCGAAACATGCTTCAACACCAGGCTCAGAGGAGGGTTTTCAGTCACCGCCGCCACCACCCTACGATGAACATCAGGACGACGGCTACGACTACCCAGAGGCCAGGTCGCCATCCCAACTTCCTTCCAGTAAGAATCTCGACATCGATTTGCGATGGACAGTCTTGTGCGATCTATTCCTGGTGCTCATAGCAGACTCTGTATATGATTCACGCTCGAGAGAGCTGTTTGAGCGAGTTGGCAAGTATCTCGCCGTAGATTGGCTAGAAAGCTGCCGCTTTGAGAAGCGTGTTACAGATGCTCTGGAGATGCAGGAGCAAGCTGACAAGGAGAACTGGAATGAAGATGAACACATGGTTGCTCGTGCCAGGCGAGCGCGGAACAAGCGGTTGGCGTTCATGGGTCTCGCGACCGTCGGAGGTGGTCTTGTAATTGGGCTATCAGCAGGTCTCCTAGCTCCTGTCATTGGCGCCGGTCTTGCAGCGGGATTTTCTACGATTGGTGTGGCCGGTACCAGCACTTTCCTGGCTGGTGCTGGAGGTGCTGCCATCATCACGTCTACTGGTGTCGTTACAGGTAGCACTGTTGGTGTCAGGGCGATGAACAGGCGTACAGGTGCAGTGAAGACATTTGAGTATCGGCCTCTTCACAACAACAAGAGAACCCATCTTATCATTACATTGGCGGGCTGGATGAATGGCAAAGTCGACGACGTCCGATTGCCGTATAGTACTGTGGACCCCATCATGGGTGACATCTACTCTGTCCTCTGGGAGCCTGAGATGCTTAGGAGCATGGGTGCCACCATCAATATTCTTGCTACTGAGGTGAGTGTGATGAGCAGGTTTCGAAGTGCATCTACTGACAGTCTCTAGGCTCTCACACAAGGTTTGCAGCAGGTTTTGGGAAGCACTATTCTCACAGCTCTGATGTCTGCTATGACATTGCCTCTTGCTTTGACGAAGCTTTCATATCTGATCGACAATCCGTGGATCGTTTCACAAGCTCGAGCCGATATGGCCGGTCTCATTTTGGCAGACTCACTTATTGATCGCAACTTAGGAACAAGACCTGTCACTCTCGTCGGCTTCTCCCTGGGCTCAAGAGTCATTTTCTCGTGTTTGAAGGAGCTTGCGGAGCGTGGTGCCTTTGGTATTGTACAGAACGTTTACATGTTTGGTACGCCAGCAGTGGCCAAATATGAAGAGTATGTCAAGGCCAGGTCTGTTGTGCCCGGAAGATTTGTCAATGGGTATGCTACCAATGACTGGATTTTGGGTATGTTGCATATTTCATGCTTTTTGTGATTGATGTTGACGTATCTAGGTTATCTCTTCCGCGCAACTAGCGGTGGTGTTATGCGCGTTGCAGGCCTTGCTCCCATCCAGGTTCCCACTATTGAGAACGTCAACGTGACTGAGCTTGTGCCTGGCCATATGGCCTACCGTGCTGTCATGCCCAAGCTCCTTCGCGAAGTCGGATGGATCGTTGAATCAGACGAATTCGCCGAAATCGAGGATCCAGATCCTGACAACCACGAGCAGCGACAACGCGAACTCATCAACGAGATTGAGGAAGCGAGAAAAGACCTGGAGAAGAAGGCGCAAGAGAAGGAGAAGAGAGGCAGTAAGCTGAGCTGGTGGAAGAAGAAGAAGGCCGCAAAGAACGAATGGGAAGTCTACGACGAAAACTCGAATGCTCCGCCTCCAGGCCACAAGAAACTAGACCAAGACCAGGATCCAGCGAAACTGGCAGAAAACCCAATCATGTTCGACATTGACGCGATACGAAAAGAAGTAGCGAGCCTGGCCGTCGAAACCAAAGAATACAACGCCGAAGCCGAATTCGAAATCAAAGAAATCAAATCGACCCTTCCACCCATGAAAATCGACATCGCCACCGTCCCTCCCTCGCAAGCAGGCAACAACCCGTACTCGAAACTCCGAGAGACCAAGAGCTACAACGACAGCCTAGGCTCAGCAAACACACCCAAAACCCCCTCCAACGGAACCCACACAGCCGGCGGATGGGAAGAATACGACGAATTCGAGCACGAACAAGAGCACATGGAAATGACCTTTGACACTTCCTTCCGCGATCCCAGTCCCCCTCCTCCTCACAATTCCAACTCTAACAACACTACTAATAATAAATCATCCTTCCCTCCATCCCCCTTACCAGCCCCACATATCCACTCGGATACTGCATCTTTATGGGACGACGATCCCTTGTCGTCATCTCATCATATGGCCAGACCTCCGCTTCGCTCGTCCAAAACAGAACCTCAGGCCATGAGTGGTGGGGGAATGGACAATGGGGACTTGGGACATAATGCGTGGGCAGATGAGTTTGAGGATGATTTTGGCGAGGAGAAGGAGGTTAAGATGAGTTTTATGTAATCTTTTACCAGTAAACTTTACGGTTCTGTTCCGTTCCGAGGGGGGTTTTTTTCTTCTTTGCTCGTTGTTAGTTTGGGATATGAGGCGGGAGGCAAGGGAAAAGGGAGGGGGAGGGGAAGGGGGGGGGGCGCTTCTCGCTTTCTGGTTTTCTGGATTTTTTTTTTCAGCGAGCATTGTTTATTCTTGTACTGGGACTGACGGAGAACGAAGAGAAATGGGATTTTTTTGGTGTTTCCCGTTCTCTGTTAGACATGCGCTTTTTTTCTCTCTCTCCCTGGTTTGGTTTTACTTCATCAGCGGGGGCGTTTGAAATCTATTTGTTTTTTTCTTTCTATTGTTGGTTTTCACGTCTTCTTATTTTTCTTGCGGCATTGATCTGGGGCATATCTTTTGGGTTTTCATTTGCATTATTTCCTCTTTTTGTCGATCTTGATTATGGCTATATGTAATGCAGATATAGGGCTTGTGTCTGGCTTTTCACGTTTCATGCCTTGGTGTATCAGCATTTATTTGAAGGATCTAATCGAGGTGGAGGTGACAAGGAGTGGGGGAAACTAAGCTGTTTAGATTGTATGGAACATATATAGATATTATCGAATGCATTAGTTCCACGGACTTTCTGTTTGGCTAGATGCGTGGGTTAGCGTTGTGTTTGAGTCTGGAAAATGCTCGAGTGTTTGACTTGGAAGTTTTTCTAGTCTTTGTGTTTGCATGGAGAGATGCTATATCGTTTTCATTTCTTCTTTCTTCTGTTTCGATAGATAAAGTAGGGCGTGTTAATTTCAAAATCATCCCTTGTGTCACATGATATACATGGTTCTATACAAATCAGCAACCTGCTGATTAGTAGCAAGGAGCATAGATGCAACCTCGCTATTCCTTTCTTTTGTAGATGCTCCACCCCGCAGTTCAAAACCAGCCTCTTAACCCATTGCCTTGAGGAAGTTAGCCTCCTTGATGGATGCTCTCCGCTTATTCCGCATGGCTTTTGTCAATTCGTCTCGCGCCTCCTGAGCCTGTACTGCACCGGCCAGAGTGCCGTCACCAGCGGGTAAATCAATAGTTTGTTCATACAATGGCACCTTGGGTATCAGCATTTCGGGGTTCTCAGCCTGTTCCTTTCGGAGACGCTTCGCAGCCAGACGACGCTGTTTCTTTGATTTGGCTGTGCGATTTTAGTTAGCGAGTTATTTCTTTTCCCTATTATTGCAATTTCATGAGGGGGGACAAGAAAAACATACAGAACAAATCACCCGCGCCCTTCTCCGCCTTCTTCTCCTGCCGATCCAACAACGTCCACAACCAAGCGGGGTATTCGTCGTCAGGCGCTGCAATTGGATCTTGTCTGTCCTTCAAGAAATTGAGGCCTTTGAGTGGCTGGCCCGCTGGTATGCTGCTCTTGACCAGGGGCGCAACCTTCTTCTTTGCTGCTTCTGCCGCCGCCGCTTTTACATCAGGACCCGGGGCTGGTGTCAATGGCTCGCTAAATGGTTGGGCGGCAGACGTCGATGTGGCCGTGGGTGGTGCGTGAGAAGATGACGAGTCGCCTTGGCGGGGTTTGGATTGCGTGGCTGTTGAACTGGAAATGGGTGTGGCATCGCGGAGGGGAGATGCGGTGGTGAAGAAGCGTGGGTTCTGTGGGCGGCGCACAGAGACGGACGGTACTTGGTGGGCGCTGCGCGAGGCAGCCCGCAGGCACGATCGACATATCATTTTTCAGTTGACGAGGGGAGGCGATTTTGCGGGGGTGGGTTGGTGGATTGGGTGTTCCCAAGTGACGATAACGTTCAAAAGTTTGAGACGACAAGGGCAGGCTGCCGAGGTGTTTCGCCGATGCCGGTTGGGGTTAGGCGATGAGATCCTACGTTAAATCAACATCCCGTCGCGCTAGAGACGCCATGTCGATGATCGTCTACATCCGCTCCGACTTGCTTTCTTAACAGATCGTGTTAAGATTTACGTGTACATGCACATGCACCGGCCTGACAGGTTTGGATAGGCAGGTGTCGGACATGGCCTAGCACCTTCCCAATTGGAAAATTCCCCGTGAGCCACTCCGTCCCTCCATCAAGGACTCGGCAGGTGAGATGCATACGCAAGCATGATCTGCACGGTAGAGACACAAGCCCAAGACTGGCCAACTGCCGAGTCACCAATGCACCATCATACAGTTATCATGTGAAGAATAGGTTGTGAATGACCGTTGAGTGTCTGGCATGGAAATGTGTTTCTTTCAATCTGGGATATGTACGTCTGACACATAGACACAGTGTAACCACTGTACACAACATGGCCAAAAAAACAAACGATTGCGCCTGCGGTAAACCGCCTTTCCGGGTGACATCGTACAAGAGAGAACAAACGTAAGACATCGTTAAAGACAGTGCGGGGTAGTGCCCCAAACCTGGGACTGGGATTCCAGAAATGCCTGTTGCCCTTCCTTGGACCCAGACCAGCAGGTAAAGCAAAAAATATATAGAACAGGAGAAACTAAGATTAGACAAATGAGTGTGCGGGGGTTAGGCCGGAAAATCCGCTAATATGTACAGACAAAATGAGACCGTGAGTGTCTAAGGTATCAAGCAACAGGCAACAGAGGCGATCGGAGTGACGCGGGGGTGTAGGAAAGTGGAGAGTTGACGGCAGTGGTCTCAGATCCAGGCCATGGCAGGAGCTTGGTGTGGCATGCCAAACCGTTGGCTGAACAGTGGACGAATCTCGGCAAGATAGTCGGCAGCACAGTAAGCGGCCAGATTCCTAGACAGCATAGCGGAATGATCCGCTTCGGCCTCGGCATCGCGGACAACGCCACCAAACTCCTCGACGACCTCGTTGAGCTGCTCGAGTTCGCGGCCAAAGGGGTGGCTCTCTTCTTCAATCGTGGCCTTGAACATGTCGAGTGACGATCGCTGTTCGCGCGAGCTACGCACGGAGCCCACGCTTCCACGTGAGCTGATGCTACCCCGCGTGGCTACATTCTGGAGAGATCGCTTGTGAGCGAGTCGTTCATGGGCACGCTTGCTGTGGGAGAGGGCCCTCGCCGGGATAGTCGGAACTGGCTCGATGATTTCCTCCTTGACCTGCTTGAGACTGGTGGTTGAAGCAGACTTCCTCAGTGGTTTGCCACCAGACGGGAAACCACCGGCGTAGTTTGGAACTGGCGAGATAGGCGAGAGATCCACAGACGAAGCATCCGTCAAGGTAGTGTCTCTGGATGCATGCGAAGAAGCACGGGAGCGTGTGGATACGCTGTGGTCCGAGTCGTCTGCCGAGGAAGATTGAGTTAGAGAGGCCATGGAGGACACGTTCTTGAGGCTTGAGATGTCGGGTGCGTTGTACGAAAGCATGTTGGTAGTCGACACGAGAGCAATAGGAAGGGAGATTTTGGCACGGTCGATGGAGGAGCCGTTCTTGACACTCTGGCTGCGAGTTGGGCGAGTGGGCGAAGTGGGCTCCTTGGGGTCCTCTGTTCGCTTCATGCGCTTCGTCATTGCGCGTGCAAGAGACATATTGATGAATTAATTCTCAGGAAGGGCGATAGTGCCTGATAAGTGTTTAGCGGTCGGAGGCAGGGCCGGTAATTCTAGCAGTGACGGTCGTTGGTCGCTCTAGGAATGCGGCGGCGCAGATAAGCGGGGTACTGCCGAAGATAAATTGCGCGTTTTGCTGGCACGAGGTGCAAGCAGTCGAGGACTAGTGTTCCACTAATGCAACGGTTGCAGTATTCTGGAAGACACCAAGGCAGCGAGGTGCGGTGCAACAGTGGTGAGGGTGGAGTTGGCCTGGTGGTACGGAGGTCACAAGGGGTGGTGGTTTGATGGTCCGGTGCCCTTTGTTTGCAGTAGAGTCGATACCCCGCGTTGGAAAGTCGATGTGTGTTGTTTGCTAGTGATGTCCTTGACGACTAGTGTTTTTTTTTTCAAAACTTTTCTGGTTCTTTGGGGGGAAATTGCTGGGCTCGCAGCGGGTGGGGAAGAAAGTAGTCAAAAGGGTGAATGGGCAGTGGATGGGGGGTGGCGAAGGGGAACAAGGACCGTCTGTCAAAGAGCGTGGGGGGGAAGGGTAGGGATGGTAAGGAGCGAACACCGGGCTGCGCAAAGGAATGGTTCTGCTGGGCGCGTAAGGCACAAAAAGGGAGGAGAGAAAGGCAGCGAAGAAGGGCGCGTGATGCAGCGATAGCAACAACGACGGGGCAGGCTTCTTGAAAAGACCAGACGAAGGGTAGCGAGCAGGGAGGACGGGCTGGGCATTTTTGCATTTGCGCTGTCTCCGAAAGATTGGTAGCATGCACTGCCCTGGACCCTGCACTGGCGGCCCGTGCGTTTCGAGCCCTGCGCCAATCAGAGGGCGTCGCTTGGTGCTCAGCGTCTCAGGTTAAGCCGGCTCTTTTCTCCTGTTTGCTTGTTCAACCCTTCCACGCCGTCCGGTTGGGGCCTTGAGAGGACTCGCTGTTTCAATGCAGCCCAGGAACACTCCCCTCCTGCTCCACTCGAGCCCGCCCGCCGCCCCATTGTGCGTGTAGCTCCAGCCAGAATGGCATTGACAGCTGAAATGAAGCTCCGAAAGCGTCGTCAATACTTACTCACTGCCGCCCACCCTACGCCGCTCGCTTTTATCCGCGAATCGCTGTTGGCCACAATCCCACTTTGCCTCAACACGCAATTTGTCTATTCCCATGCCGTCACCCTCCAAACTCTAATTACTCTCCGCTGTGCCCACACCGGACGCGCAACCGCACACTGTTTCTGCTGACTGCCTGCTCTAGACCTAAAGCATCTACTTGCATACTCTACACTTAATATTCACGTCGGCACACGCACATGTTTGAGCGCGCGCGTACAAAGCGACCTCCCTCCCGCTAAACCCAATGCCCTCTTTACTGCTTATACTAGCAACCCCTCCGTCCGACCTGTTCTTACTTCTGCCATGCCCGGCGTCAGAGTTTCACACCTCACTGGCAGGACCGAATGTGACGAGGGTGTGCCCTAATCCGGTCCCAGTAATGAGGCCATCCAGCCAGACCGAGACCTTACTTCAGGTGGACCCACACCCGCCAGCCAGTCTCCAACTGCAGCCTGCGAACGTTGATCTGCCGCTATACGCTAGCATTGACCTGTCTTCGCTTGTCGAGTACAATCCACTACGCCAGCTGTGAGAACACTTGGTCCGCCATCAAGCCATGCTTTGCGCCCGTGTCTCCTGCTGCCCTAGGGTCCCGCGCAACCTCCCCCCAAAAAACTAAACTTAGTCTCTGCCATCTTTCATACTGACGTCGATATCACCACCCATCACCAAGCCATGCAAGTTTATGCGAGTCAGGTGAGATGAAAGGGACTTGCAAAACAAAGGGCGGAGAGATCGGGGATTCGGGCACTTGATGAAACACGCACGCACCCTTTCTATCCGAGGAAACATGACTAAACACCTTATTCTGCGTTTCGCCAAAAAGCTTCACAATGGCCCTCCGTCACGCCAGATCAAAACTCGTTGGTTCATCATCACACAGACATCGTCATATCCCAAAATCTTCGGTCCGCTGCCCAGCTTCCTCTCATCATCGCCCAGGGTATCTTCGCCTAGTGTACATACTACTCCTCCATCGACTCCCATCCCTTGTCATCACCATCCTCCCCTTCCTCGTCATTGCTCTCTCCTTCTTCCGAATCTGAATCCGTGTCTTCCTCTTCCAGACCCACGAGACGCTCCTTGCCATCTCCCCTAACTGCCGGCACTTTGCTGGCAAAAGCTGCACGCACCGCTGCATTGGTGCTCGTATCCCAAATCTGCACTGCGCCCTTGCTTCCTGCTACTGCCAATCGGAAACCCACTTCGTTATCAGGGGCAAAGGATGTGGAGAAGACTTTTCCCACACCCAAGTCTCGCGACACCACCATGCTTGGCCCGCTTTCTTGAATGTTCCACAGTTTTACTTGCTTATCCGTAGAGCCCGTTGCCAAGTACCCAGGTATCACCGGGTTGATGTCAAACGATGAAATGGACTCGTCATGGGCCTGCAGTACCCATACAGGTTTTGAGGCAGACGCATCTTTTGGTGCGTTGCGAGCATCGTGATAGTGTATCATGCCGTTTTCAGTCGAGACCTGACCAGGGTTAATGCCGCATCATCAAGTTTGGCCTTGCAACACTTACGTAGAAATAGTTCGGGTCGTGAGGATTCCACCGTACGCTTTCGACATCACTCTCAACGCCCCACCGTGGCGCTTTTGCCTCGGGTGCACGCATATCGGCCACCACCACTGTGCGGTCGTAGCTACCACTCAGAAGCGCTGTAGACTCGACAGGGTGCCATGCCACAGAGCACACCTTGTCCGTGTGATACGTGTATGACTTTGCGCATTTGGTCGTGTTCAAATCCCACAGCTTGATGGTTTTATCAGCCGACGACGACGCAAGAAGGTTGCGGTGGTGACGGTTGGCCGCGAGCGAGAGCACAGAGTCGACGTGGAATTCATCGTTGGCCTTCTTGGACTTCTTCTTCTTCTTTTTGGGCTTGTCGGCTTTTGCCGCATCGTCGGCACCTTGTCCTAGTACCGCATCTGGGTACATGCTGTCCACCACGTCCAAATTCCAAATCTCAATGTCCGGGTCCATAGTGCCGATGGCTACAAAGTTACCCTTGCCTTCGCTGGTACCCACAGATTTGCCCACAGGCAGATCTAGCCACTCAACAGCCAGTGGGATGGCGGGCAGCATAATGTCGTGATGCACGTAGAGATTGTCATCCTCGTCTTCGTACACATAGACCTCAAGATGTGCAACTTCGTCTTCTATCCTTCCGGCCAATACCAGGTTGTCAGTGGCCAGAATCTGTAGCTCTTCTCGGTCCTCCTCATCCTCTTCGTCTCCGCCCTTCATAGTAATATACGGGTCATCTTCGTCGTTCTCGTGGAAGACTAGGTTCTTTGCGTTGCCGAACATGGCCATAGTGTCGCCTTGGTCCTGGGCGACTTCATCGTCGTAGTGCTCAAGGTCGTATTCTTTGAGATCGTCGTCATCGTCGCTTCAAACAATTAGCCTTCAATTGTATGTAACAAAAAGCACCGCACTCACTCGTCATCCTTTTTCTGTGCCTTGCTCGAAGTTCCGTTGCTCTTGGCCTTCTCCTCAGCTTGCGCCTCTTCAAGTTCTTCCTTAGCGTCTTCCAGCTGTAGATTTGCAAGTTTCGATATGCGCTCATATTCTTCTTCGTCGAATTGATACCTGGTAGGAAAAGGCGCCGCAAAGCCGCGCGGTACCCATGTCGTCGCTGTGATCATAGACATTGTCGCGGTATTGTGTGAAAAGATGCGCAGTGAGAGCGCAAGTTGCGTGGGGAACTTTTTCACAGGTTGGAAATAATTTTGGGCGGCCCCGCAACGATTGGCTAAAGCTCCCGCCCTATCGATAATTGCGGACCTCCGAGCATCAACTTTCCCGCCATCTCAACACCAACAACACCACGCCGAGTCTACACGCCACTCTACATATATATCCTTTTCGAAAGAAGTACCCAGACAGCTGTTCGTCATAATGGAACGCGGTCATAGCCCCAAGCGGCGAAAGCTCGACCCCGAAGAATACTCGATCGCGCCTCGTCCAAAGTTTCGCAAACCTAACAAGCCCGCGTCTTCACGCGCGCATACGCCCAAAGCCAACGAAGATGGCGCTCACCCAGCCCAGGAATCATTCGACGGCCCCGAACCCCTCGTGGACGACTTCGACTCAATGGCACTTGACCGCGACTGGTATGGCGGTGAGGAGAACGGACATACCTTTGGCGACGATACACATAACCCGTTTGGCGGCGCTGAGAGCTCATGGCTGGACGCACAACGGGAGGCTGCTTTGACAGAAAAGAAACAGAACAACCGGGCGAGCATGAGAGCTCAGCAGAAGCAAAAGGATGTCGATGCGTGGGAGACGAATCGAATGCTCCAATCTGGAGTCGCCCAAAGAAGACATTTCGATGATGACTTTGACGACGATGAAGAGAGCATGCGCGTACATATCCTTGTACACGAGCTCAGGCCGCCCTTTCTGGACGGAAAGACTGTCTTCACCAAGCAAATCGACCCAGTTCCAGCAGTACGAGATCCTCAGAGTGACATGGCAGTCTTCAGTCGGCGCGGCAGTCGCGTGGTTAAGGAAAAGCGGCAACAGAAAGAGCGGGCAAAGCAGACGCAGGAAGCCACTAGCGCAAAAGGAACCACACTGGGCAATATCATGGGCATCAAGGAGGAGGACACAGACAGTGCTGCGCCCGGTCCTGACGAAGAGGAGAAGCAGGGTGGCAGTAAGTTTGCACAGCACCTGAGCAAGCAGGAAGGTGCAAGCGCTTTCAGTAAAAGCAAGACACTTCGAGAACAGAGGCAATATCTCCCAGCATTTGCTGTCCGAGAAGATTTACTCCGTGTGATTCGAGACAACCAAGTAATCATTGTCGTCGGTCAAACGGGTTCTGGAAAAACTACCCAGCTGACTCAGTTCCTCTACGAAGATGGTTATGCCAAAAACGGGCTTATTGGCTGCACGCAACCACGTCGTGTCGCAGCCATGAGTGTGGCGAAGCGTGTGAGCGAAGAAATGGAGGTCAAGCTGGGTGGTTTGGTTGGTTATGCGATTCGTTTCGAAGACTGCACTAGCAAAGAAACCAAGATCAAATACATGACTGATGGTGTCTTGCTCCGAGAATCCCTGGTTGAGCCTGACCTAGACAAGTACTCTTGCATCATCATGGACGAAGCGCACGAGAGAGCCCTTAATACTGATGTGTTGATGGGCCTTCTCAAAAAGGTACTGGCTCGAAGACGAGATCTTAAGCTAATCGTCACTTCGGCCACCATGAATGCGGATCGATTCTCGCGCTTCTACGGAGGCGCGCCAGAGTTCATCATCCCAGGACGAACATTCCCCGTAGACATTCAGTACTCGCGATCGCCGTGTGAGGACTACGTCGACAGTGCTGTGAAGCAAGTCTTGGCTATTCACGTGTCACAAGGACCTGGCGATATTCTAGTCTTCATGACGGGTCAAGAGGATATTGAAATCACCTGCGAACTTGTTGCAGAGCGACTCAAACTTTTGAACGACCCGCCGAAACTGAGCATCCTTCCCATCTACAGTCAGATGCCTGCCGACCTGCAAGCAAAGATTTTTGAGCGAGCAGCCCCAGGTGTACGAAAAGTCATCGTAGCAACCAACATTGCTGAAACGAGTCTGACTGTTGATGGTATCATGTATGTTGTCGACGCCGGATTTTCTAAACTCAAAGTTTACAACCCCAAGATGGGCATGGACACGCTACAAATCACGCCCATATCCCAAGCAAACGCCTCACAACGTGCTGGTCGCGCTGGACGCACAGGTCCCGGAAAATGCTTTCATCTATACACTGAAAGGGCGTTCAGAGATGAGTTCTACATCCAAACGATACCTGAAATCCAGCGGACGAACCTTGCCAACACGGTCCTACTGTTGAAATCTCTCGGTGTAAAGGATTTACTAGACTTTGACTTCATGGACCCTCCACCTCAAGACACCATCACGACCTCACTCTTTGACCTCTGGGCCCTCGGCGCCCTCGACAATATTGGCAACCTCACTGACCTAGGCCGAACCATGACGGCCTTCCCTATGGACCCCTCTCTCGCCAAACTCATCATCACCGCCACCGAATACGAATGCAGCGAAGAAATGCTCACAATCGTCGCCATGCTCTCCGTCCCCTCAGTCTTCTACCGCCCCAAAGAACGCCAAGAAGAATCCGACGCGGCCCGCGAAAAGTTCTTCGTCCCAGAATCCGACCACCTCACCCTCCTGCACGTCTACACACAATGGAAAGTAAACGGCTACTCGGACGGCTGGTGCATCCGGCACTTCCTCCACCCAAAGGCCCTACGCCGCGCAAAAGAAATCCGCGACCAAATCCTCGACATAATGGGGAAACAGAAAATGCCCCTAATATCCTGTGGCACAGACTGGGACGTAATCCGCAAATGCATCTGCTCAGGCTACTACCACCAAGCCGCAAAAGTAAAAGGCATAGGCGAATACATCAACCTCCGCACCTCCGTCACCATCCAACTCCACCCCACCTCCGCCCTCTACGGCCTCGGATACCTCCCCGACTACGTCGTCTACCACGAACTCATCCTCACCTCCAAAGAATACATGTCCTGCGTCACCTCTGTCGATCCACACTGGCTAGCCGATCTCGGCGCAGTCTTCTACTCCATAAAGGAAAAGGGATACTCGGCGCGCGATAAGCGCATCGTCGAGACGGAATTTAACAAGAAGGCGGAGTTGGAGAGGAAAATGGCGGAGGATAAGGAGAGAGAGGAGCGTAGGGTTGCGGAGGAGGAGGCGGGGCCGGTGGTTAGGATGGGGAGCAAGGTTAAGAAGGGTGAGGAGGGGGAGGGTGTGGTTAAGAGACCGGTTTTGGGAAAGTCCAAGTTTAGACGGAGGTAACTAGAGTGTGAAAGTTTGAAAGGGTTAGATATTTTTTTTGGTAATGCATCTTATCTTTCTTTGACAAGAGTTGCTGCCATGTCTTTCGCGTCGTTTCCAAACTCTTTTAGCTGTTTCCTCTTCCGCTACATGAAAAAAAAATGTCGAAACTACTACAAAGCGAGGCAAGAAACGCTCGCTAGATAAATAACATATATCTTTCCTCCCCCCAAATACTCGCGCGCCTGCTTTAAAACTCTCCACGACCCCTACCACCCCTACCCCGTCGTCCTCCACGCTTCTTACGATCCCAATTACCCCTAAACCCACGTCCTCCCTGATGCCCATTCCTCTCATCCCTCTCCCTCTCCTCCTCTTCCCTCTTCATCATCTCCCTCTCGCGCTCCAACTTCTCCGCCTCAAGCTCCTCAGCACTCTTCTCCACACGCACCTCTGGCTTCTTAAGATCAGTGGGGTACCGCGGGTGCGCACCGTACTTGCAGCCCTTGCCCTCTGGACAAAACCCGCACAGGTAAAAGGGACACAGCTTGTCTTTCTTGTTGTGCTTCAGCGCGCAGTGTGGGCCAAGGGGGCAGAAGCCGCGGTCGTAGTGTGGGCATGAAGGGCGCTTGGCATCGGGGTCCAGGTGCAGGTACAGGCAGTCATCGCCGTTTGAGCAGGTTTGTGTACGTGCGTAGTAGGAGCATTCGGGCATGCGGCGGAGGTTGTATTCGTGGAGGAATTCGCAGGTTTCGCCTTTTTTGCAGAGGCCGCGGAGCCAGTGTTTGCATACTAGACTGTGGTGTTGGGGTTAGCCTACTTATGTTCAATATGAGTTGGGCTACTGGGTAACATACTTGTTGTAGGACGAAGAGACATTGTGCTTGTTGGGGCATTTGCTGCCGTCTGGACAGTGGCCTTGGAGGTATGCTTTGCAGGTTGGGCGATCGGGGTTTAGGCCAAATCGATATTCACGTCTAAGAAACTCGCTGAATTTAAAGGTATATTGGGGCGGCCGGGCCTCGGCGGACTTTTCTTCTGACATGGGAGCCGCTACGGATGTCATGACTTCTGTCATTATTGGTGCACTTTGTTGCAACGCGTGGGAAAGTGGCCTCGCGTTGCGCTCTGGTAGCTGATGCACCCGATCACGATTGAGACACTATAGCGTAATATGTTTGTGATGTAGAGTGCTTTCTTGTGCGCCGACAGAACTGCGATGCAATAGGCGATTTCGAATCCTCAATGTAGGCCCGGTAGTTATGTGGGGTTGGTGTTTGTGGCTGGAGCACAGCTGTATGTAGTTGCAGTCGGACTGACGCAAACGGTTCGTCGGAGCGCGCAATCACGTGATCATCGAGTGGGTAGTTACAACATCCAACATCCTTTTCCATGTACCTGCAACTCTTGTGCAACTTACCCGATCGGTCTTGCACGGCGCTTCCGTCTCACTCTAGCGTCTTGTGTTTCCCTCACATTGACCTATCAACGACTTCTAGAATTTGCGCGTGCCGTCGAACCGAATAGTGCAGCTGGCACAGCCTTGGAACCCCACACCTATGTTGCGCCACAGCTTCTACCTCGGATTTTGGAGGCTTGCTGACACTTTCTACAAAGGTATGCGCACCCTTATCAACATCTTCGTAATCAGATGTTTCTGTGCCCAGACATACATATGTCTATCATTTCCATTGCGTGCACCCTCTATCTTTAGACATGACATCGGATGCTTCTTGGTTACTCCTCTTGGATGTACAATACTACCAATGATACCCTCTCACCACTCCTTACAAATACACATTAGATTCGAGTCGGTTAGATTTAAAACTTTCCAAGCCGTTTTCTTAGTGCGTCAGCGTCCAAATCACGAGAACACAGTATTCTGGGACATTGCGGCCTGACCTACGACGTCGCGCGACTCTGGCTCGCGCCATCCATAGATCTTAGCCAACACCATCGGTTTGTTCGCAGTCTATTCAAGTACCAGACTGGGCTTCACCGTCTATCGCACTGCAGAAACAGAAGCAACTATAGCAAGTCCGTCAGCTAAGACATCACCTGCTTCAGGCTAAGCGGCATGTCTGTTGATATCTAACGCAACCCACCAGTTCATTGCATCATTGAGCGGCCTGTAATACCGCTATCTTCCATTTGACATGTATATACAAAGGCCATATAGACAGCGCTCCAGGGTCTCTTTAGAACATTTAAAATCATACCATCCAACCGTTTTCCTAGCCAATTTCCATCACCAAAGTACACCATCTACGAATACCTACTGTCTTCCATTACGTACCCAACCCCCCACATATACTGCAAACCCATACCTCACTCACACATACACAATATCATTTTACCAAACAAATTTGTGCGGAGCTTCCGATACCCGTAGAGCTTTGATCTTTTTCCCCAAGCAAAACAAATACGGGTCCCTCTCTCTCTTACCTGCAGCATACCCTGACGCTGCATGCAAGCTAAAGCCTTTAAAGCCTGAACGGAAAACGAACCGAACAATGAGCCGAGACTACTACTTCAACCACCACCCACTCCATCACCACACGACTGCATTTTCCACACCGCTGCAAAACATGTACTGGAACGGCGTATACTATCCCAACTGGCGTATCTATCGCGAGCAGCCGCCCGTCTCGTTGAACTACGACGTCATTTCGCATGTCTTTTATGCGTTTGCATGGTAAGGTTTGGGTCTATTTCCGGAGATGCTCGGGTAAGTTTGAGTGCTAAATGTTATGAACAGGGTTAAAGAGGATGGAACGGTATACGTAAGTTTATATTTATATTTATTGTTTCTGGGTGAGTTTTCGAAATTGACCTGTGTGTAGTTGAGCGATGAATGGGCGGATGCACAGATTGATGTTCCGGGCATCGACGACATCCCTGCAACAAAGGGTTGTTTAAACTCGTTTGCACTTCTTAAGAAGAAGTATACAAGACTGCGGGTAGTGCTTTCGGTCGGTGGCGGCGGCAAAGGTAGTGAGCCGTTTGCGGGCGTGGCTCGAGACCCAGCTTGCCGTGAGCGCTTTGCACAGTCATCCCTGGCTTTAGTACAGCAATTCGGTATCGATGGAATTGACAGTTGGTTCGCCCCCCCTTCTCAATGACAACAAGATTACTAAAAACACACACATTACAGTCGACTGGGAGCACCCGGCCGATGCCAGCCAAGGCCAAGACTACATCGCTCTCCTAGCCACAATCCGGCAATACCTCCCAGCACCCCAATACACCCTATCCTCGGCCCTTCCCGCGGGCGAATGGGCCCTCCAGCACATCAACCTAGGCTACGCCTCGCAATACCTCGACCTAGTCAACCTCATGGCATACGACTACTCGGGACCCTGGGTCAGCAAATGCGGGCACCAAGCCCAACTCTTCACCCCGCCCGTGCCGCACTGCCCCGAAGCCGCAATCTCCTGCCACTCAGCCGTCTCCTACATGGTCAACCAGGGCGTGCCCCGCCACAAAATCGTCATGGGCGTCCCGGCCTACGGCCGCAGTTTCACGGGTACCCGCGGTATCGGGCATCCGTTTGAGGGGCAGGCCGGCGAAGAAGGCACGTTTGAGTATCGCGACTTGCCAAGGCCTGGCGCCCAGGAGCATGTCGATGAGCAGCTGGGTGCGGCGTATTGTGTTGGAGGCGATGGCGGGTTGGTTACGTATGATACGCCGCAGACGGTTAGGATGAAGGCGAATTATGTGCGCCAGAATGGGCTGGGGGGCTTGTTTTACTGGACGGGGACGGGAGATGTGAGTTCGATTACGCAAAAGGATCGGAGTCTGGTGTATAATGGCTTTCTTGCTTTGTTTGGACAGTAGTGCGTCCAATGCGGATTGATGCGCATTGTTCTTCGAATCAACGTTGATTGGGTACTGCATCATGGCCTGAGATTGACATTCAGGCGTGATGCATGTTCCTGGATGTTTACGGCTTTTGTTAAGCAAGATGTCAAAATCGGTGGCCAGGTGACGAGAAACTATACTGTGGTGTACACTACATGTTTTCTTCTCGCATGGATATAGCGGTCACGGTCTGTGATTTTGGAGAAGGCAGAGCACATTAGTAACATATACGTCTGGGTGATTTAGAAAAAGACACCAGCACTTGGTCCGCGTCCTTATGTTTAACACTGATCGATTTCAGAATCTCATCAGAAGCTTTTATGGTATACAGTCTGTTGGATGTCAAATTCACTTGTAAGAATTTTTGAGTCGCTAAATTTTCTTAGATATGCATCTTTGGGAGGCAGATGATTGCATTCTGTTAGGATTTGTCATGTGATTATTACTCGAGTGTGCTGACGAGTAGCAGTCAATTGAAGCATTATTCTTCCACACTGGCTCCAAAACAACGAGCTGACCGTTTACCATAGCAGGTCGAATGGGCTGGCCACATATTAAAATTGAGCAACTCAACATGCAGAACGTGCAGTCGATTCATGACACGAGAATCCCCTGCGCATCTTGACACAGGACGATGACTTCAAAACTAAGCTCGATAACGAAGTGTACCCAGGCGATAGTACAAATAATATTTGTAAACACGTAGAATGTAGAGCCGGCTATGTTGGAAAATACAGTCAACTTTTGGGAGTCCGCGGAAGCTGACTTGCCATAGCAATTATCAGATGACAGGCAATGCAACATGAACGGTCCGTCAGAAGGCATTCGAACAACGAAGCTTGAGCAAGTCTCTCAGCCTTTGACACGACACCCTCAGTTCAAAGAGGCATGTCTTGCAAGAAACCCGCTGCGATGTTTTCACAGAGACGATGGTAAGACTTGCCCTACTCAAGAAAAGCAGGTTAGGTATAGGTAACGTGTGCGGGGAACCGGTGGTAGTGGCCGTTTTAGCCACATGGTAGTGTGTACCGGTGTGTGTTTCAGTGCCGGGAGACGGCAGATGGTTTATTATCGATCGAGATGGCGATTCGGTACGTGAAACACCCCTCTACTATCATCCAATCCTCACTTTCACCTGTGAGAACGGGAGGAAAGGGGGAGAGTGTAATTGGCTCATTCCACCTACTTACGCATCAGGAAAATGGGGAACAAATCCAGGCCAAGCGGTGAATGGGGAGGCTGTTTCGCTAGCTTAGCGACCAGGAAGTAGTAGTAACAACCACGTGTACCCTACTACTATTCAGCTGGGTGGATAGTAGTAGCAAATTCTCAGCCACGCCATGAGCATACTATCGCTTATCCCTACGTCTCGAACTCTGACGTGCAGAAACGATGACAAAGATGCGCTTGGTGTGCTTTCTCATATCGCCCGGTAAGCCATGTGGCGTGCTGTATACAGTACAAGCGGACATTGCGCCGTTTGCATTTTTGCTGCTTCTGAGACATCGGGCGGGTGGGGGGCTAGAATGGGTCCTCTGGCGCGCTCTGCTGAGGAAAAGTGTGTGTATGTAGGCGGGAGTTGCATGGCGTAGGGCTATGCGGTGTTGCTGCGTGCATAGATACAAAGCCTGGAGGAACATCATGAAACCTTGCAACGTCCACGCATCATCGATTTCCTGTTTCTAGAATTTATTTAGTAGTACTGTAGATACAACACCATCGGCGCAGGCAGAAACGATAACAAACCGGACAAAGGCTGCCCCCGTCGGGGTCTCGCATCCCGCCCCGACTTTCCCTGTCGGGCAAACAACCCTCCGTCTCACAGCGCTCCGGTTCGCCAGCAAAGGGCGACGCCGCACATTTTCTTTAGCGCGCGCAATGCGGCTGCCACCACGTCATGACTGGGCGAAACACCACAACGGTCGGAGTGTCCAATTCTCCCAGATTGGTGCGATAAGCCAATTGGGCAGTGTTAATCGGGCAGACGGCATGGAAAAGGAGCGGTGCGTACAGCTAGGTTGTAGAGGGCAGCGCGCACGAGCCATCGCTAAGGCATATACGCTACGGAGGTTGCAGCTTTGAGGCTGAACTAAGGTGGTGAGCTGGGCAAGTAGTGGGTTTTTGGATGGAGCGGAGGACAAAATTGGGCCGAGGAGAGGGTGCGCTCGTGGCTGGGTGGTCTTACTATGCGCCCGCCCCGAGTGATGGGCGTGTGTGTTGTGGCTTTACGCCCTGTGATAGAGGGAGAGCGGGTGAGTGGTAGAATGGATAGTGTGTATGTATATGTATGATGGCTGCTCTCGCTCTTGTAAAGAGGGTAGGCAGCACTTGGTATCATTTTTTCGGCGGCTTCTTGTGTTTCTCTCCTATAGCCTCTGAGGATATCGTGCGTAGTCTATATTTATAGTTTGGATTTCCTCTTCCCTATTCACACCAAGGCTCAAAGTCGAGAGTCATGGCGAGTACGTCGGTACAGCCGCCCGAGGACGTGGTTAAGCCTGCGCCCCCTGTCTCAGAACCCGTGAGCGAGGCGGCATCCGAGCAGGTCGATACAGTAGAAGTGGGAAAGTTCCAGCCAGGATGGCGCTTTCTAGCTGCTTTTGGTAGTCTGTGTATCATAACGCTAATGGCTGCGTTGGATGCTACTTCCATCTCCGTTGCTCTTCCAGTAAGTTTTGCACAATCTAGAAAGATACAGAGTGGGTCATGACTGACAATCTCCAGATCATGGCCAGGGCACTGGGGGGGTCTGCTATCGAGGCGTTCTGGAGCGGCACTTCGTTCCTATTGACGTCGACCGTCTTCCAGCCAGTGATTGGATCCTTTTCGCACATTTTTGGGAGAAAGGCATTGATTTACATTAGTCTTGGATTCTTCCTGGTTGGGTCCATTATCCCCGCTGTGGCTGACAACTTCACCCTCATTCTGGTTGGGCGGTCTATCCAAGGTATCGGAGGTGGAGGTATCATTTGTCTCACAGAAATGGTGGTTGTAGATACTGTGCCTCTGCGGGAGCGAGGAAAGTGGCTTAGCTTCTTTGGTGCTATGTGGTCGATTGGCACAGTAGCTGGACCGCTTCTCGGTAAGCAATATGTAGTGCAGATGCAAAAGGTCAGTAGCTAACGACACTAGGCGGCGGCTTTTCACAAAACGTTAGTTGGCGATGGATCTTTTGGATCAACCTCCCATTCATTGGCATTGGCGCTGCCATGATCACCATCTTCCTCAAGCTCAACCAGAAGCATGGGGCTTTCCTAACCAAACTCCGCGAGGTGGATTGGATCGGCATGGTACTCTTCCTCGCCTCGACCACTGGCTTCTTAATTCCCGTTACCTGGGGCGGAGTGCAGTATCCGTGGGACTCGTGGCGCACGCTTGTGCCGCTTATTGTGTGCGGTGCTGGCATGGTTGGCTTTGTCCTTTACATTGAATTTGTGGCCGCCAACCCGCTCATTCGCACGTCAGTCTTCAAGAACCGGTCTGCTGCCATTCTCTATACTGCCACAGTAATCCACGGCATTATCTTGTGGGCTATCCTATACTACCTACCGCTGTACTTTGAAGCGGTCAAGGGATTTGGGCCCATTCTTACCGGGGTTGCTTTGTTTCCGTGGACGTTTACGGTGGCTCCGGCTTCGATTGCGACGGGTATTGCTATTGCCATCCTGGGCACGTACCGGTGGGCCAACCGGGCAGGGTGGTTCCTTGCTACTCTGGGCATGGGTGTGCTGATAGTAATCAAAGTCGACACGTCGACTCCTGCATGGATCTTTATCAGTCTCGTTGGTGGTATAGGAACAGGTATCCTGTAAGTGAGAGCTGTTGACGAAGAGAAACAAGGGGCCCTAACGATTGCCTAGTTTTCCTGCCATGGCATTGGCCGTGCAAGCCAGTGCGACTGCAGCAGACCAGGCGTATGCTGCCAACATGTTTTCCTTTTTCCGCGCATTCGGCCAGACACTGGGAGTAGCTATTGGCGGAGTCGTGTTCCAGAACCAGATGAAGAAGAAGATGCTGACGTTTCCACTGCTGGCCGAATTCGCGGACGAGTATTCCCAGGACGCAGCTGGACTGGTCCGCATCATCAAGGAGATGCCTGGTGGAGAGATGAAGGACCAACTAAAGGAAAGCTACACGGACGCATTAAAGTACATCTGGATAGTCATGCTGGTGTTCAGTGCGGTGGCTATGATTGGCAGCTGGTTCATCGAGGCCTATGACATGAATGGGGCCATGGACCAAGAGAGGGCGTTTGTCGACAAAGACAAGGTCAAGGATATGGAAAAGAGCGGTAGTCCGTAATACGGGGAGGGGTATAGAACTTGTTTTGGGAGAAGCATCGACGAAGCATCTAGACTTTGATGGGGCACATTTAGAATTAGACGGGTATGATATGAAGCATTTCTTGTAGGGTACGTGGTAATCTAATGTATAATAAATCGCGTCTCGACTCTTGGACTTGTGGCTGGGTTGAGTCAGCATGTGCAATTGAGATGCAGACCCACTGCTAATAGCACAGCCAACGCTTTTGCATCAGTCATGGAGGCGTGCAGAAGGCTTCGAGTATTTTTGGCGAAAAGGCGGGCGGGATCTGCTAGAGCCGGGACCGGGCGGCGGCCTCGTTGGAATGTGAAACACGCCGTCTGCCGTTGACAAGGGAGATCAGTGGCCGGCGTGCGTCATGGCAGAAACAAGGCGTCGTAAGAATTACGAGTCCAAGCGGAGAAGCAAGCAAGAATGTATGCAGGACGAAGAAAGGGAGAAGATTGATGAGGAGTGACGAGGATGGTGCAGGAGAATGTGGTGGTGATGGTGTGGTCATTAGGGTCGACTGGCAGTGACCCTGCAGGCGAGCGAAAGCAGTAGGGGCCTGGGGCACGATGCCAAGCGGTCCTGATCTCGGGTGAGGCAGTGAGACAGGCCATGGCTGCTCACCATGAGATTAAAGTCCAGATGACAGGAGAGAAAAGAAAGAGACGGATGGCATTGCACAAAGGGCGACAATGACAGAAGCCAAAGGGCGTATCGAGCTGTCGCACAAAGACTATTGAGGGTGCAGGCGGGAGGCATGATGCCCAGCGACAGGAACGGCAGACTGTCAAAGGTAAATTAGGACATGCAGCAGCTAGTATATCGCGACCATGTGCTCAGGGCGGGCTGCTGGAACGCGGGCAGACCAGACAACGGCGACGCAGCAAAAAAAAAGCATGTTAGCGGGAGGGTTAGGTCGGCAGTTTAGATGAGCTTTTTTGGGCGCTGTCCACTTGCCCTGCGTCGTGCATCCATGGCGAAAGGGGAGTTTGGGGTGGATGGTTTGGGATCCAGCTCTTGTCAGCCGTTAGGCACATGGAGACTAGGCCCAGCCCCGTTAGCCGAGGAGCAGCCTGGCCAATCAGGCCACCGCCCATCGGCCCACCCGGGACTTGTCGCTGCTGGCGCTCCCGAAGGGAAAGGCACACACACCCCCCTTGACTCTCACGCCTGTCTCTGACAACACCCGTGTACCTTTGCGAAAAAGCAGCGCGGGAGGGCGGCCACCCTTCGATCCCACGCGCATCCTCCCCCTCACCTCAGTCATTCGTTTCAGCATTCCAGCAAAGCAGCTCGCTGCACCTAATATCACACAACTACACCCCCCCTGGACCCCCAATCCACGTCCCTACTTCACCGCGCGCCAAGCAACCCTCGCCGGCTGCTCCTTCCCGCCTACGCCTCACACACTACACGCGTGCAAGAACGACCGACCGGCCGCATCGTCGCCTCAGCCACCGGCCTACAAACAACGTCACCATCGCTATCATCATCATCGCCATCACCTTCACCTTCACCACTACCCCGTAATCATCACCACCACCACCACCACACGTCCATGCCGAACCGGGCCGCCTACCTCTGCTAAACCCATCCTCCGTCACTCGCATACGACCCTGTATTATTTCCGTCCATCGCGCCACCCACTGCTGCCATGAGGGATTCATTCGCTGCCCTCCTGCGCACAGGGGCTGGCAAGCTTGTCCTTTCGCTGTTGCTCGCCTCTCCCACGACAGCAATCACCTTCAATCCCGTCCCGGTCCCTCCGCTTAGTCTCGGCGACTTGGGCCGCATAGCTTTTACTGGCGACTTTGATTCCATATCGCTGTACCAGTACCAAGGCCAGAGCCAGCAATACCCCGGTCGCAATGGCGCTCTGCTCTCCCGTTACCCTAATGGCGTCTTTGCTACCATCAACGTTACCGATGCCGACATCAAGGCCATGTGCACTCTGCCCATCAATGGCGCTGAACGAGTCGTCTTTGCCGGCAACTTTACAGGTGTCGGCAACATGCCCACACCTGGAGGCATTGCCCTGCTTGATCCCACAAACGGCAACGTACGGTCACTCGAGGGCCTTAGTGGATCTGTGAATGCCCTCTACTGCGACCGAGAAGGCGGACGCGTCTATGTCGGCGGTAGTCTTTCTGGTGCTAACTCGACAAACGCCCTGGTCTGGAAGGACGGCTGGGAGGATCTCTCGTTCCACGGCTTCAACGGCCCCATCCATTCCATCACCCGTGCCTCTAACAACAACATTGTATTTGGAGGCGAGTTCAACGGCCTGGGCGGCAATGCCTCAACTGTGTCGAGCCAGAACAACACCCAGGTGATTCCTATTTCCAATGCACGCATCTCGGCACAGACCAGCTCCGGTATCAACGGCTTCACAGACCCCAAGAACATTGCTTGCAAGGCCGACTACACAACACAGGGCTCCGGCTCTACCTGGCTCATGGCCGACCGCGCTGATGGTTTCTGGAAGGCCGAGTTTGGTTTTGGTTTTGAACCCACCAGTATGAAGTTGTACAACACCGACTTTGAGGGCCGTGGCACCAAGACTTTCCACTTTACCGCTCTTCCTCTTGGCGGCATCTTGAACCTGACCTACACTGATCCTCGAACCGGACAAAAGGCCTTTTGCGACCTTCGATGCCCCCTGCCCGAGGGCAACACCACTGCCCAGGACTTTACTTTTGTCAACGTCGTTGGTATGAACGCTTTCAGGATCGATATTACCGAGCACTATGGAGCTGGCGCTGGACTGAATGGCATCGAACTCTTCCAGGATGGTGAGTGCATCGATTTGCTTTACTAACTTCTCTCGCTAATGTCTGCAGCCATATATTCGTATGCTGTCAACGAGTTCAACGAGCCCAAGAACTGTGGCGCCACCGGTTCGCTGTCAGAGTCAACCGCTACAGGCTCGTGGCAGGTTTCTCCTTCACATGACAGCAACTCCCAGTACCTTACCACCGTTCTCACAGGCAGCCCAATCGACGTCAATGCGGCAACCGTTACCTTTGTTCCTGATGTCAAGCAGTCCGGCAATTACTCAGTCACCATCTTCACACCTGGATGCCAAGGTGACGGCACTTGTGGCAGTCGTGGTCGCGTCAACGTCACGGCTGTGGCCGGTGGTCAAACCGAAAGCACCGAACTCTGGCAGACCAACAACTTTGACAAGTACGACGAAGTCTACAATGGCTTCATTGATGCCACTAGCGGCGCCCCTCCTCGAGTCATTATCCAACCCGCCGCTGGACAAGGCCCAGCACCTGTGACAGTTGTTGCACAGAGAGTACGCTTCACGCTGCTAAAGGCCACCTCTGGCAATCTGAATGGTCTTTTCGAGTACAAGCCAGGTCAGACTGTAGATGCAGACAATTTTTCGGATTCGGTCATCAACGCTGCTGGTGCAAGCCTTAGTCCTCGGGAGAAGGCTCTGGTAACGAGCGTGGCTAGAGGTGACGATACTCTTTACGTTGGTGGATCTTTCAACACTACTGATAACCGCAACAACATCTTTGCCATCCGTGACGGCGCCACAGGACCTACGGCCCTTTCTGCCAGTGGGTTGAACAACCAGGTCATGACTTTGTTCCACAACGCCAGCACACTGTATGTTGGTGGCAATTTCACCAACACGGTAAACAACAATGCTCCTGGCCTGCGTGGTGTGGCTGCATACACCAACAACGAGTGGAAGCCTCTCGGCGCTGGCGTAGAGGGTGTTGTCCTATATCTCGTGCCCTTTTCGCTCAACATCACAGACAACACACCTGAAGAAGTCCTTGCCGTGAGTGGCTTCTTCAGCCAAGTCAATGCTTTCGACGACAATCCCGCCACCAGTGTCAATGATTTCGCAGTCTGGGTTCCCTCCCGCAGCAACTGGCTGCATAACCTAGAATTCTACTCCCTCGCCATGTCGGGTAGATTGATGACATTTGCTGATGTTCCTGGAAGTGCTCGTTGGTTTGGTGGATCCGTCTCTTCCGGTGCTCTCCTTGCGAGCGGTAGTGCCGAGCTACAAAGCGGAGACCAGCTGGAGCTCGAGGCATTCCCTGTCAAGATCAAGGCCCAACGCCAGGCTGCTCTCCGCAAGCGAGCTATCGTGGATGGACAAAACCTCAACACCACCGGTGTTCGCACTGGCACTTTCTACAAGCAAAATGGCATGAACAAGACTATTCTTGCTGGTCATTTTGCCACAACCGGTGCAGACAACCAGAACATCACCAATGTCCTCATCATCGATGGCAACGACTCGGATAAGGTCACTGGTTTCAACGATGAGTTAGACGCCAACTCCACATTTGCCACTGTTGCCGTCTTGAACAACATCTTGTACGCTGGTGGTGTGGTTAGTGGTCAGCTCAGAAATGACCCTATTGCTGGTGTTGTCGCCTACGATCTCACCAAGAACGAATTTACTCCCGTTCAGCCGCCGCCACTTCAGGGCATCAATGTCACCGTCAATGCCATTGCCCCACGACCAAAGTCCAACGACATCTTTATCGGTGGCCAATTCCAATCCGCTGGAGCCTTGAGCTGTGCTGCAGTCTGCATGTGGAACACCGAGCGCAATCAGTGGAACCAAGCAGGAAACGGTATCCAAGGCGAGGTCACGTCCTTGACTTGGATTGGTGACACCAAACTTTTGATTGCTGGCAATCTTACATCGGGCAACAATCACACCAAGATCCTCACGTTTGATTCTACAAACAGCCAGTATGCCGTTATTCCTGGTGCCAATGATCTTCCTGGTCCAGTCACTGCGCTCACCATTGCTAACCGCAATGGCGATCAATTCTGGGCTGCTGGCCAAGGTAGCGATGGCACTGCCTATCTACAGCGGTTCGACGGGTCCAAGTGGATCCCTGCCAACCCTGCCATGTTTGGCGATTCAACAGACATCCGTGGTATCCAAGTTCTTTCTCTGTCGGAGAATCATGATGCGGCTCAGATCATCGACCAAGATCAAGATCTTCTCCTCATGGGCCACATCAATGTTACCGACTTTGGAACTGCGTCTGCTGTGCTCTTTAACGGTACTTCGCTCATTCCCTTCCTGCTTGCCACCAAGGGTCAGGATGGTCAGACGGAGCCAGGAAGCTTGTCTTCTATCTTTGTGGAGAACCCCAACTCGTTCTTCCTAAAGTCAGGTAAGTTATTTATCATACCCCAGACTATACGTTGCTAACAAATTTACAGACAGCCACCTTGCTCTCTGGGCTATTGTCCTTATCGGCCTCGCCATCGCACTGGTCCTTACCTTCTTGCTTGTCGTCATTGGCATAATCATCGAGTGGTACCGTAAGAAGCAACAGGGCTACACCCCTGCCCCGACATCATACACCGACCGCATGGGAAATGTTGGACGCGTACCGCCAGAGCAATTGTTCGGAACTCTGTCCAAACCACAACAAGCACCTGCCATCTAAGTCGAGCCTGCTATCGCAACTCTAATTCGGATGAAGTGGTAATCAAAAATAATGACATGAGCATTTGGAGAGTGGCAGTAATGGTCTGGTGACCCCCAGTTGTGTCCAATGGACAGGATACTTTCTCGCTACTCCTTCTAGCCTCGGAATCTTGTCCAAGCGGAGACGAGTGTTATCCATGTTACGTTGTCTGGGATGATCAGGCAAAAGCTATTGGGCATACTGTTCATTCTGTGCGAAAGACATCGTTACGTTTCGGATCAGACGACGAAGCGATAATTTACTTTGTGGTGGATTATTGGAACATGGCAAAGCGCCTTCTCTTGCATAGTTGGTTGCATGTGCGCACATGGTGCCCCTCTCTTTGTCCATGGGGAATTTTTCATATTTTCTCGGATTTCATGTCCTTACTAGAGCTGTTTAGATTGCTTTCGACATGCTCTCTCTCTCTTTTTCTTCTTCTTTTCCATTCGTATAGTGTGCTTGATACCACGTGGCTAGCGCGCCCTTTTTATGTCCTCGCAGCCCTACCAAACTCTTTTTTTTTTACGTTGGCTCTTTTTTCCTCTCCCACCATCATGTTCTCTTTTTTTTCTTTGATTGAATTTGCGAAAAGAAAGGTGGTGCGTCTCGCCCCGAGGAGAAGAAGAACTTCCGTTGATGTAGTTAATGTGTATGCCTCAGGGCACGAAGAGGGTGTGTAATGAGGAGGTCGAGAGAAAGCGGGAGTTGTGGGGAGGAGAGATGGGCAGAAAATGCATATGGTCCCTTGTTTCCAGGCATGAATAGGCGTAGTAGGTGTAGGTCTAGAAGGGAATGATGAAGAAAGCAATGTGGCGTTGACGACTTATCCACTCTTATCTTGACAATCGTCTTTCATGTTTACTTGAGTACTTTTGTCACCCGTATCCTCTTACTTGTCTTACTTGTATAGGGTAGCAAGACACTTCCACAACTTGACCTCATTCCCTATCTTCATACTGACGCAAGTGTCTTGGCAAGTCATACGAGTATGCTAAAGTGCACAGGAACACATGTACATGCATCATCAAACCCCACAATTGATCTCATATTACGACTCTCTCATTCTACCAATTACCCTTACTTCTCCCTTTCTCCCTTAAACATGACCCATCAAGCCCCCCTAAACCCCACCGCTCACGCCTTAAACCTCCTCTTCTCAACCGCACTCCCCACCAACTCCTCGCCCCGAATGATATTCGTCGCACAAACGACAATCCGACTGCCCCTGCCCTCACCTCCAGACTCCTTCAATTTATTGCCGATGAACCTCAAAGCCGCAATTTCCGCTCTCGTGACACCACCGAGGAAGAATACGGCTACGGTCTTGTTTTTCTCGGCTTGGCTGCCATTGAGCAACTGCCTCGCTTTCACAGCTTTTTCCTCTCCCTTTTGCGCCTCATCAAATGTGGCGCCGCGTATGTATTTCGTCGCATCATCAAAGATACGGAGACCCTGCGCGAGGGGGTTTGCTTGAGCCGACGCCCGAGGATCGGTGGAAGGCTTGATGGCATTTGCCAAAGTGTGTTTTTGGATGATTGATTGGATCAGACGGGCACTTAGGGGTGCGTAACCCGAGAAAGTGTACGATATGTCGTTTGGATTTGCCTCATTGACATCGTCGTCCCAGATTTTCAGACTCTTTCTCAAGGGCGTGTAGTTGGTTACACTGCCTGGTTTTGCTGGTGCACCTACGCCGCCGAGACTCACGCCTCCTCGTGGGGCAAGCAGACCCATCTTCTCGAGAGAAGCGAGGGTGAGCATGTGCTGCGGACCGTAGGCCTGAATAATGGCACGTTTGAAGTTTTCGAGATCCTTCGGACGGATACCCGCGTTTGTTGTACTCTCCAAGCATAGTAGACGCAGAATGGCAGGCAAAGGTACGTCGCGGTTGATCAGTTCGGTAATGGTATCGTGCTGTGTTGTAGGGTCTGCGCCAGACATGATGTTTTGCTGCACTTCCAGACTTCGTGTAAAAATGTCGGTACGCGTAAACTTGATGATCTCCTCTGCAAGACTGGTATGTAGTTTTAGACTGGCCTGCTCGGCCTGGTAACCGGGAAGCTTTGCGACAAAGTCCCGCAACTCTGAAGTGGTCTTCGTGGCAAGCTGGTCGCGTCCAGTGCTACTCTGGAGCCGCCGAGCCGCCTGATTGAGGAGATTGCCTACGATAGCAAAGTTGGCATCACCAAGATCTGCGTACAATGTGTCCTTTGCATCAATCATGACCTTGCGCTTCATGCTGGTAGATGCCGAGCCCGTCTGACCTTGTTGAGGCGTTACGCCGCCAATGACCGAAGAATCAACCTCCGTTTGGTTGGCAGAGATGTTGAAGACCTCATCAATAAGGCCCTCATAGGTGAGCTGAGTCAGTAGCACGGTAGGAAAGTCAACTTCTCGATCAATAATGATGAGGCTGTCTATGTTGGAGCTAGGTGTCAATCCCAAAAACGACGGTCCTCCGCTACCAGACGTCTCGCTCGCAGCAACCTCGGTGCGCATACGAATGAGCAGGTCCGCAAGGCGCTTTCCATTGTCACCTTTACCAATGATTCGTGGAAAGAGTCCATACTTTTGCTGCTGGAGCATCAGCGCCTTGGCCGACAAATATATGGCCGTCGGGTCTTTTCGCTTTAGATGGTCAGCTTCAGATTTAGCGGCGATGTGATGCAACATACAAGATACAGATCCGACACGGCATCTTCCAGCTCAAGCGACAAGACATCATCTGCAAGAGGCACGAAAAACAATGGCCACTCGCTCACACTAGCTTCACCCAGGACACCTGCTTCTTCAAGTAGTTGATCGGACGTCAAAGTGCGGCGGGGAACCCAGAAGATGGAGAATTCATGTTCAATTTCGCTGTCGCGCCGAATACGTTTTATCTGATCTATCTAGGATGTTAGCACCGTACAATAGACTGATCCTATATAGATGATAGGCAATCCAATAAAAGCGCTTTGTTTATTCTAGGGATCAAGACTGGCCAGACAGAGTAGGTAAAAATCTGCCTAGCCTACTTTTTGACCCAAAACATGCTGTGCAGCATGCGAGGAGTGAAGCAAGGAAGCCGAGAAGCTTCACTTACCAGCAACAGCCATCACAGTCTTTGCCTTTTCGCCTCTAACGAGGAAGACAATGTTGCGCTGTGAGGAGTCGACGTTGTCGTTCTCAAGGAAAAAGGGCTTGTCAACGCCATATTCTTGTAGCGTCGAGAACTTGACAAGGAGATTCAGCGGGCCGGCAAGCGTCTTCTCAAGCACGAGGTTCTTCTTTCCTCGTATCTGGTTGCATGTGTTAGATGAGGCAGCACGTTGCGGCGCTGATATTACCTTACACCTTCGAGCAGAAGAAGCAGCTCTCGCCGCGCTTTTTCAGTTATATCCGCCGCATTGAAAGGTGTGATGGGCGCCATTGTCGCCGCTGTATCATGAGTTACAGCTTGTGCGAGGCTTTCCCAGAAGCATGACTACATGCAGCTCGGCCTTGTGCTGTGAAGGTCGATGAGGAGTGAAGATGAGCTTCGGCTGGATTTCTTAAGCTCTGGCCTAAAGGGCACGTGCACTCGTGTCTTGGCATCTGCTAGGGCGGAAGCAGTGGGGACTGATTCATGAGTCTCGCTATTTTCCTGCAAGTGTATCGTACTTATGTTCTAATGTCACGCCTGAACTGGTCCTTTTGAAACGCAAACATGGCCACGTGAGGCAAACTGCGCGCCAATGTCTGGCGGACAAGAGCATCGTTTTTAATTCCTTTTGTTGTCTGCATCTACCTTCAAGTTACATCAGAGACCTTGATCCTCCTCCAACACGTCCACAAACATGGGTATACAGCAAACCGGCAAATATCATGACTTTCATAAATGCAATATGTGGAAATCTTTCACGTCACACAAAGTAACCAATCCGAACTTTATGCACCCAAAGCCTTGAGAGCGATCCGTAGTTCCTTTACCGCGGTGTCAGCGTCTTCGAAATTTAGTGCCGAGATTGCCCACTTGGCGTGCTTTTGGGCCAGCGCAATCGAGTCTTCGTCATTCTTGAAAGGCCCATTGGAATAGTGCTGTGGAGGTTGGGTTGGCGGTGTGGGTTGAGCATACGGGTTCTGGAGCGGCGTTGGTGTGTATTGTTGTTGAGGCGGGAAAGCGCTTGTCTGTGGTGGTGCGTATTGATTTTGCGGAGGAGGTTGGTAGGTATTCTGGACAGGCGGAGCGGCTGGTGTTGATGCAGAATTTTGGTAGAAGCTCGCAGGATCCGATGCACCAGGCGCTTGCGGTACTTGGGGACTGGCAGGCAGAGAAGATGTCAAGGGATCGCGATCCATTGGTGCTGTTGGTAGACCGGGTGGCGCCGACTCTCCCGTGAAGGTAGGAGGATCTGTCTTTGGGAAATACCCCCCGCCTATAGAAGTGACAGAGCCCTGCCGTGACTGGGCGGGCTGTGACATGGGAGATACGTCGCCATGCGAGGGCTGTGTGTATCCGGTGGGCGCAGAAGGGAGATCGGGAGCAGGAGGCGACACTGGAGCAGCGGAGAAGTTGGGCGATGGTTGTGAGGTATCTGGGGCCGACTCAACGTATGACTGGTATGGACTTTGCGGTGGAGCGCCCTGGTTTATACGCTGTACCTCTGGGTCTTCTGGATCTAAAGCAGGCGGCGATGCAGCTCGTTGGGTTTCTTGCACGGGGTTCGTGGCATTGGGATCTTCACCAGCCTTGATAGCTTTGAGGATGCGTAGGGCGTGGTACTTGGCGTACTTTGTCTTTGCGGCGATTTCAGCGTCGTTGTTTTTCCAGACGGACATCATCTCGAGGAATGTGGAGGCTGCGCGCAGGGTATCAACTGTTTGTCTGTCCAAGATAGTTAGCTTGGGCACTCATGATCCCATGCGCGAGAGACGAACCCATTGACTCTGTTCTCAGCCATCTCGCGCTCCGCTTTGGCCAGCGTCTGGAGGGCAAACTGCTCGCAGTAAGCGCTTGCGACGGTGTCGTCGACCAAGGCCTCCTCGCCAGGGTTCTCGGCCTTTGCCTGTTCGAGTTTCTCCATGAGATCGGTCGTGTAGGCAGTACACTCTGGGTCGGCCGAGTGCAGACCACCGGCGATTATTTTCTGAACCATGTAGAACCTCACTAATCATGGTAATTAGCATGCGCGCTGGGTAGAAACATATGGTGGTACTCACGCCAGTAGGTCATGATAGGCTTGACGCGCTCGAGCTGGGCGGCGCGCTTGGCCGGCTCAGCGAGCTGCAGCTTCTTGAGCTTGGCTGGAGTGACACTGGCCATGGCTGTGGATATGCGATGGTGTTGCGTGCAGGACGTGGGTGTTTTGGAGGGGGTGAATATAGTACATGGATATTAGGCTGCCCTCGGCGCGCGGAGGATGCGGTCATAGGCGCTAGTGTGTAGCAGCATCCCTGTCTCCCCGCATCGCAGCTCTGGCCAGGTAGACACACGGGCAATGCTGCTGCAAATGAAAAGAAAAGGCCAACCTGGCATCAAGGCCTGGTGAACACCTATAAGCCCTGCAGCAGCTCCTCTTCTTCTCTCCTGCTGTTCTCCACTTTACTTTACACACTACCACCTCAATCATGGTGCGCACATCGACCCTGTTCGCCGCTACGGCTGCTCTGGCTCTCAATGCGCGCGCAGAGAGCATGTACTCCAAGAACAGCGCCGTCGTCTCGATTAACGGCATGGACTACGACCGAGTCATTGCAAAGTCAAACTACACCTCTGTAAGTGTACACTCCTTGGTTTGAAAATCGCAGACTAATAAAATGTTAGATTGTCGAGTAAGCTACAATCATCTTGACCAAGTTTCGCATTCTTACATCTCCAGATTCTACGCGCCATGGTGTGGCCACTGCAAGAACCTCAAGCCTGCCTACGAAACAGCGGCAAAGTCGCTTCAAGGAATCGCCAAGGTCGCCGCCGTCAACTGCGATGAAGAGATGAATAAGCCTTTCTGCGGAAACATGGGTGTCCAGGGCTTCCCTACTCTCAAGATTGTCCGTCCCAGCAAGAAATACGGCAAGCCAACAGTCGAGGACTACCAGGGACCTCGATCGGCCAAGGGCATCGTCGAGACTGTCAAGGACAAGGTCCCCAATCAAGTCAAGAGGGTAAATGACAAGAACCTGGACGAATGGCTACAGGAGAACAAGGACAATGCCAAGGCTATTCTGTTCAGCGAAAAGGGAGTTGTCAGCGCCACACTCAGGGCACTAGCAATTGACTTTGCTGGCATCGTCTCAGTTGCTCAGATTAAGAAGACGGAGAAGGCAGCTGTTGAAAAGTACGGCATCACCGAGTATCCCACACTCATTCTCATTCCCGCCGGCTCAGACACGCCTATCAAACATGAGGGCAAGGCCGACAAGGCGGCCATGGTCAAGTTCCTGTCTCAAGTCGCCCCGCCAAACCCCGATTGCCCGCCTCCCAAAGAGAAGAAGGCAAAAGGCAAAAAGGATAGCAAGAAGGATTCCAAGGCCTCGAGCAAATTCTCCAAGGCTTCGGCTGCGCACAAGGATGCTGAAGCTTCTTCGGCTGCCGCATCAGCGACAGAAGAGACCGTGGAGCAATCTACGGAATCGCCCGATCCAAACATCAAGGACGAGGACACTCCAAACCCAGTTGTTCTTCCCGAGGAAGGACTCAAGCCAACGATTCCCTTGATCGCTGAATCCGCCGAGCTCCAATCCCTGTGCTTGACCGACCAAAGCAAGACATGTATCCTAGCACTTTTGCCCAAGGATGAAACCTCGGAAACCGCCACTACCGCTGTCGCTTCACTCGCTTCTATTCACAAGAAATACGATGTCGCCGGAAGCCATCTCTTCCCCTTTGTCAGCGTTGCCTCGACCAATCCTCTAGCCGCTACCTTGATTGCGGAGCTGAGTCTCGGAAGCGCAGATCAGGTCCACCTCATTGCCACTAACGGCAAGCGCGCGTGGTACAAGAAGTACTCTGGTACCTCCTTTGGACTTCAGGAGGTCGAGCAATGGGTAGATGCTATTCGCATGGGAGAGGGCAAGAAGGAGAAGCTGTCGGATTCGCTCCTGGTACCGGGTGAGAAGCCAAAGCCTAAGAAGGTTAAGGAGGAAGTCCACGAGCAGGTTAAAATTCAAGTTGAGGAGGTTGAGGATGATGCGCCTGAGCACAACGAGCTTTAATTTATGTGTTTGGAGAACTGTAGTGCAGTGGTCTCTCTAGGAGACGTGTATATCAAAATGTTTATTATTGTTGGTTTTTCTTGAATGACTTTCTCTTTCGCCTACCAAAGTCGTCTTCATATCAGCATCCGGAGAAGTGTGATGGACTTTTCCCCATATTGCTAGGCTCAAATCGGCCATTGTAGCATCGTTGGTGTTGAGTATTGCTGTGATAGACGCTAGTTGCTGATTGGCTGATTGGCTAGCTGGCTGTAGTGGTTGTCTGTAAGTTCAACTGCTGGTAAACTCAACTGCCGACGTCATGTAACCTGCTACGCAAGGTTATTTCGGGATTCTTCAAAGTGTAAAACCTTTTACAGATAAGGCACGAAATACATTAGTGAAAGTGAATTGAGATAAATACTTAAAGAGCGACCCAAGGTTCCAGATGGGGACTATATATACTCCAACAGATGTGACTGTGGCCCGAGGGTGTTGGCCTGCCAAGGACCTCGATCCAGAGTATCTTGAACACCTCTCGTCTACTTGCCACCCTTGATTATATCAGCAGCCCTTTCAGCTACAGCATACACGGTAGCCATGATGTGGGCAGCCGGCACCATAGGCATGACGCTTGCGTCCACAACCCTCAAGCCCTGAACACCATAGACCTTGAGATTCTTGTCAACAACGCCGCCGTCCTCCCTAGGTCCAATCTTGGCTGTGCCCGCGGGGTGGTAGATGCATATTGTGGTACTGCGGATCCAAGCGTCGACATCGGCAGATGCACCGGGAACGGCTTCAGTTGGCTTGAGTCCGCCCATGCTCGCTGTAGCCATGATCTTTCGGGTAAAAGAGACGCTCTCATGCATAATTGCTCTGTCGATGTTGTTTCGGTAGACACCGGGGTCGGCGATGGGGTAATCGAATGCACTCGACGATGGCGCTATAACCTGTCCGCGTGAGAAGGGGTGCTGTAGGATGGATTCTACGCTTCCATCCACCCAGGTTCATAGCGGCGTCCGTGGCTACCATCTTCTTGTTAAGAGCGGCAAACTGGGCTGCATAACCCCGGGCGACTTCAGCAGGCACGTTTTGTGGAAGTGATGCAGACGGGCCGTTCGCAGCGGTTTGTGAAACGAGAGCTTTTGTGTTGTTTGAGAGAGTGGAGAGAGGGAGGAAAAGAAGGAATTCGCCATGTGGGTTTGTCAGTGGGCCGGATCTTGAGGTGTCGTATTGCCTTCGGGCTTCGGCTGCAAATGTAGCGTTTGATTTTAACATTGGGCTGGTAGGCAGATCGGTATTTACTACATACTATAGTTAGCGCTCGAATCGAATAGAAAAAAGCGTTGATTAACTACTCACTTGCAAAGGACATGAAAACAGAAGCATGGTCGTGCAGGTTGTGTCCAACAGCTGGAAGGTTAACAACTGTCGGGACGTTGATGGAAGCCAGTAGAGACGCATCGCCGATACCAGAGATCTGTAATAGATGAGGTGTGCGGAGTGCGCCAGCAGCAAGAATAACTTCCTTCTTAGCCTTGGCTTGCTGGACAGGTGCGTTGGCAGAAGGAGCAAACTTGACGCCAGTGACCTTAGGTAAGCCATTTGTCTTTGATGTGATGACTTGTGTGACCTGATTACCAGCTAAGAGGTGGTAGTTAGACCTCGGCTTAGCGGGTACGTAATAGGCTTCTTGTGCAGACGAGCGTGCTTGAGTCTTGGGGTCTTGGTTTTTGGGGCAGTAGTAACCACCCAAAGCTCTTCCGCTGGAGTCATCGCTGATTGGGATACTGAGTTCTTTGGTGGCATTTATGAAGTACTCTAAGTATGGCGTTAGTGCTAATCGCTTGTAAATGCCTTGGGCAACTCACTCGTAGTCGGCCAGAAAAAGGAGGGAAGGTTAGCTGAATAGGACCGTTGCTACCACGGTTGTTAAGGTCCACCTTAATGTTGTATTCAGCCCGGATTGCAGACGTCGCGGTGGTGAACGTCTCCGACTGTGGGGGTTAGAACAACCACTCATAATGTTTCTGGGCGAACATACCTTCTTGAAGTAGGGTAGAAGGCTTTTACAGTTCCATCCTTTAGCACCCAATGCCTCCCATGTGTCGTAGTCGGATTGCGAGCCACGATCAAACGTCATAGCGTTAAGCTTAGTACCCCCGCCCACAACTTTGCCTTGACCCAAAGGAATGGCACGGTTGTTTAGATTCGGATTGGGGGCGTATGTAAAGTTCCAGTCATACTTTGTGCCTACGGAGCCACCAGCAAGACCTGGAATAGTCATGTAGTCTTCATTCTGGTCACTGATAATCTTGTCAGTACTAAGTTAATAAGAGTGTGGGTCGATTAGAACGTACAAGTCGCCAGCCTCGATGACGAGAACATTTACGTCTATCTTGGGATCATGTTAGCTGTCTATGTAAAACACTATGTAGTTGTTGGGAAACCTACTCTTGTTTTCAGATAGACGGTTGGCGACAGTCAGACCCGATGCACCTGCACCGACAACCACATAATCGTATTCAGGCAGAAGATCTTCTGCTCTTGGGATGACTTGCCCATGAAAGAGCGGGTGCGAAAGAATGCTAGTTGCAAAAATCGAGACTGACACAGCGAGGCCAATAGTTGAAGGCATGTTGAGATGGTGTCGATTGTCTATTGATTGATGCTGTGTCTATGCATTGGATACCTCAATATATATACACATGTATAGTGAAAACATATGAATGTAACCAAAAGTCTTGTGAGTCGCGGGCAAGTGCTGACTCCCGGTGAAATCAGCCCAGAGTGAAGATTGAGGCGTTCACTATGAACACCTCATCGGAATAACTTCTACTAGCATTCTAAGTCAGCGGGCCCGATTTCGACTCACCTGGCGTTTTTCATCTACAAACCAACTTGTGGCGCTCAATCCATCGTCACCTTCCAATAAGCTATTGTTTCCAGACCAGCTAATCAGAAGCGCTGTCTCGGTCAGTGGCGTATCTACTATAAAATTTACTGGCTATTGTGTTGGTTGATTCGCCACCACAATCACAATTTAGCTTTTACGTGGCTAAGACATTAGCTGGCCTAATCAACTGTGCTGAAATTGACCCACCTTCGGCTCATTGGAAGGTGACAATGAATTGAGCGCCATGATTGAAATCACCTGCTGCCTGTTTTCACCTCCGAAGGAACACATCGGGGGCCAAATCAAGGTACTAGGTGCCGAATTGATCAGTTCTCTATACCAAAAATGGCCTTCCTACGCCATATCATTCGATAGCTACTCAAAGGCTCTACTACTACGTTTTCACTACGAGTTCATGCTATTTTCTACTGCTAAACTATGCGCTATCAAATATTCTTGTCGGGTGTTTTTGAACCGATTCATAGACACTCAGCTCGGGTAAGCATGATACGAGAGAGATAGTATTGGAAAAGCCTGGTTGCTTTTAATGGCTAGATACTAATAACCTAGAACAAGTTCACTCTGAGCTGACTGCAAATTTCACCTGTTGCACCTGATTGAGACCCCCTGTATGTTCCTTTGGGGCTGAAAGACGGCGGTATCTGCTACGGCCTCAGCCATTATTTTTAGCCTCTTTGCATACAAAACTTTCACCGGCAACCACAGTAGGCGGAGCTCCATCAATGGTCCTACCTCAGCTTGGCTATGTGGCGGCGGCCTGGATATTGGGCTGGCTAGGTAATTGGAGGCCTGAGATATTAAGCACCCGCATTGCCTCAAATTCTTCTTTGTCCAGGAACATTCCAGTCAAGTGTGTATTTAGAGAAATGCCCATGTTACCACAAAGTCTCCCTTATTCAGAAATGTTGCAGCAAAGTGTGCATTAAGAGAAATGATTGTCCTCGGAATATGAGATTTTGGAAAATAAGACGATGTTGTCTTCGCATTTATTCGCCGTAGCAGTATTTGCTAGGGTCTAAAGATAATACTTGAGAGGTGCGGTCACTCCCCTACCCGGAGCGGTGCACATGTGGTCTAAACGCCCAGCTGTACCGCTCGTGCAGTAGCGTCGCCGCCTGCCCGCCCGCCCGCCTGCCCGCATTCGGGAGCATTCCACAACCACGCATCAACGCCTCAATATGTTGTATAACATAATCGAGCTCGCAGTTATCGGAGAAGAGCGGACAAGCGGGCTCGGCAAGGCCGGCGTGGATCAATTGTCGGCTTCACTATACTCAATATGATAACTGTGCTCAGTGAACTTGGCAAAGGAAATAGGGTTATAAGGAGCCATAAATGTAGATATGTTCTATGTAGACATCATCACAACGTTCTTTACACTCCATAATCAATCTCTGTACCACTCTTCATCAAAACATCTCTAAAATGGCCCACCAAAACCGCCTTGCAAACGCGCACATCCTCGTCTTCGGAGGAACATCAGGCATCGGCTTTGCCATTGCTAGCATGGCCCTCTCCTACGGCGCTAAAGTCACCATTTCAGGCTCCAACCAGCCTAAGGTCGACACCAAAGTCGATCATCTGCGGTCTCTGTATCCGAACATGCCCGCTACCAACGTAAAAGGCTTTGCCGCCGACCTGACCGACAAGGCGAACCTCGAAAGGAACATTGGCGCAGTACTAGACAAAGCAACGGAAAATGGGAGCAAGAAAATCGACCATATTGCTTTCACATCCGGAGACTCTCTTCGTATAGCCAAGACTGCCGAACTGGGTATCAGTACTGTGCTCGATGCTTTTACCGTCCGCTTTCTTGCTCCATGCGCCCTGGCGAAACTCATTGTCAACGGCGACTACATGCTCAAATCCTCCAACAGCTCCATCACCCTGACCGCCGGCTCAAACACGAAACGCCCAATGCAAGATTGGGCTGTGATGGCAGCCGTGGGTGGTTCCCTCGAGGGCCTAACACGAGGTCTTGCGGTAGACATGGTTCCGATTCGCATCAACCTCGTAAACCCTGGTGCCATACATACGGAGATGCTTCAGAAAATTATGGATAGGCTTCCAGCCGAGGCGATTGAGAAGATGAAGAAGAGTTTAAGTCTGCCGGGGGAGATTGGTCGACCAGAAGATATTGCTGAGGCCTACGGATGGATCATGAAGGATAGGTTCGCCAATGGGGCGGAGGTAAACAGTGATGGTGGGCGTTATCTTGTTGGTTCCACGTCATGATTTCCTTTGCTGTAACTAGTGACATGTAAAATATAGAACAGCTTAATCTATGCTGATTTCCAGTCCCCTGTATTGTACTTCCTGCCTGACACGATCTGATACTTTACAGTCTGCCACCAGGCCTCTGAAACCTCGCTTTTGTAAGTTTCGTAGTTCCTCTTGACTCTTCTTCATGTCGTTTTCGACCGCAGATTTAAGCTTTTGGCCGAGAAAGCTCTCGTCTTCATGCATGCGCTCGAATACTAAAGTAATCAGGTCGATTTCGTCTTTGACACTTTGATCGCCGCTTTGGCGCCACTGGATAACAAGCACGCATGCCGAAACGTACAAAGATGACCCTATATACGGGGAGAGTAGTAGATCAACCGAAATGCGCGATGCATCTTTGACTATCTGTGCGACGTTTCGAGCCGCAATGACAGCAAGGCTGAACGGGGAAGATGGACTCGAAATCGAACCCTGTGCCTCACAGCTATAATGCAGTATCAAAGTCATGGCATTCAAGGTAATTAGCAGCCATACCACCTGCTGACGATCTGCTGGCGGTGCTGTTAGTACTGAACTCGCTCGACGGGGCAGGCTGAGTCGGAATTTAATAATCAGGCTGTCCAGCTTGGCGCATTCTTCTGCATACTCGGGGGAGTCGGGCGCGCTGTGTAGGGAATGTATCAACTCAGATACTCGGCCGAGCAGGACATGCGCAATTGCTAGGTAGTGTAGCACATTGAGAGGCTCTTTTGCGGACGACGATGAACATATCAGATCAGAAAGATTCCGCGTAAATGGCGTATTGGAATGATGAAGCGTATCCGATTCTGGATCCATGGCTTGAAAGACCGATTCAGGTTTCAACAAGTCGACTTTGAACTGCGTCTCGGGTATAGCGGTCTGCCAGCCCGTCGCCCAAGAGTTTATTCGATCCAACATGAAAAGCAGCCATAAAGCTCGCCGAAGCTCTTCTTTAGCGACTGACGTCCTCTCTTCATGCATATTGGGCCGACGTGTTTTCAGATGATCCGCCTCTACATTTAGACCAAGAACAACAGCCTGTCGCCATGCTTTTCCTAGGAACAACCAGCTGGAAGAAAAGTCGCATGCAGTCCAAGCATGGAACATAAGGAGTATCACAGACTGGACGGTGCGTAGAGTTGGTTCGGGCTTTTGGCAGGTGAGGTTATAGGAGAACTTTGCTTGCTCGTACCAGTCTTTGGAACGCTTTTTTACCGCATTGTCAGGATGGAATCTGGCTGCTATACAGCAAATTGCGTAAACCAAGGTTGGTGATTCATCCTGTAGCTTGCCGCTTTCCACACTAGACAGGAAGCTCTTCTTGTGAAAGCAGGGAAACATAGGGTAAAGATGCTCGAAGAAGAGGTTGGTAAGCTGGATGATGATATCTTGTGAAGGCGGCTGGAAGCTATCAAGCGCCTGGAAACTAAACACATCATCGGTTTGAATGTCCGTGGATTCAGGTATTGGGAAGCACGCTAGTGGATCTGCATATGCTAAAGGGGCGGAGGATGGAAGATCGAGGATTGTGCCTGTGAGTTGCATGGACGGCAGCAGACCAGGCGGCTCCATATCAAAACCAGAAGGTAAAGCAACTGGGTCTGGACTAAGAGAACTCTCTGGGTAGGCTGCAGAAAGTAAATTGCTGTCTTGGTGTGACGGTGCCCCATACTGGCATCTAATATTTAGTTTTCTACACAAAGAACAGCTCGGATGCTCGGCCTATATTGCATACCACTGTTAGAGAGAGAGGGACCGAGTTCAAATCAGTACATCATTACACGTACGTCGCATTTCTTCTTCCGCTGTCGACAGCTGGTGCATGCTTGCTTTCGCTTCGCAACCGAGGCTGGTATAGTCAAGGTTACCATAGTTGCAGGTAAGCCGAGTATTTGAACATGTGATCCAAGGGTCTCTGATTGATAAGAGGGCCAAGAAAAGCGGAGTGGGAAGTACAGTGGAATCATGTGTCGCGTTCGAGGTGCAGCCAGGCTTGGGTGAGTTAGCTCGGAGTTAAACCTAATCTGCATCTCCGGGGGCCTGAGCGCATAGCGCAATAAATACGAACCAATCATATGCAACAAACCATTGAGTGTTGCTATTAAAAGTGTTTTTCGAGTTCTAGATTCAACTACCTTATTCTTTGGTTTTCGTGCATATGGCAATAGGAGAGGAACTCCTGCAAAGCGTACTACTGACAAGTAACAGATTGGGGTTACTTATTGTAACTTAATCCTCTACCTACACTGCTTATAGCTTTGATTCATCACTTTGTATGCTTTTCAGGGCCTCGAGGATACCAAGGGCATACAAGAAACAAGGAATGGTCCTAGTCTTTGAGATATAAACTCACTAGTCCAACTCAATGTCACGCACATGTAAGCGCTCAATCTCCAATATAATCCGCTTATTAGCTACAGCAAGGTAAGCTGCTGGCGCAGTTGATGCTAACCTAAAAAACCAATATTTCTAGCGACATATCTCCAAGATGGGAAAAGTCTTATATAGTAACCATGCTTAAAACTCGTTGGTCAAGTGTCTCAATGAAAGAAGAAGAAAATACCCCTCCGCCTTTAAACTGACCGAGTTACTTCCCATATCCATTGATCCACCCAAAACTAAAGAAAATCTAAGTCAGTATCAGGGGCTCATGCTCTTAAATCCTGTTAGCACGATACTAAAGACGATCTCACAAGAATCCATAGAAATATCGGAGAAAGTGTCCACACCTTTTCCCGAAAAAACAAGACTCTAAAAGTATGTACAGGATATATATATACTATCAACCCTGCCCAGAACTCCGTATTCCTCAAAACAAACATACCTCTTCATAAATTCATGATTTCACACAGTAATTTCATAACCTCATAACTCATACCCACACCTCCCCCATCACGAAACATGCATCCACACCTCACTCCCCCCCAGCACCCCCCAAACCCCTCCCGCCCGATCCCCCGTAACATCCCCAACCCCACCCCTCTCATCAATCCCCTCCCACACCCCCGGGATTCCCGTCCACCGCCAAAGTGTCCCATCCGCATGACGACTATACAACAACTCGCCCACGGCATGAATCCCCACACTCGCCTTCTGCTCAATAACGCTCCAGTAAGGGCCCTTGGTATCAAGCCACACCACCGCACCATCGCTCTGGACTTTGAAGAACTCGTTGCCGCCAACCGCGATCCCCGTGTTTGCGGCGTTGCGATCGAGGATGGCGGCGGAGGTGTAGGGCCAGCGCGAGCGTACTAGGTCACCGTTTGATAGCAGGTTCCAGAGGGTTTTGTCGTCGGAGACGGCGATTTGACGGGAGCCCGGTGAGGATTGGTCGATTGTGAGCCAAGTGGAGCCCGAGAGGCGGACTACGGAGCCGTCTTTGCGTCGGGCGTAGAGTTGGTCCGAGGCGGCGTGGATGTCGAGGATGGATGTGTCGGTGGGGCTGATGGATTGCCAGTTCGATGGTGTTCCAGTCCAGCGAAAGGTTCCGCCGTCGTAGTGGCGTTGGTAGAGGAGGCCGTTTGCGCCTGTGATTTGGGCGGTTTCTTTGTAGTTGTCGATGGTTATCCAGGCGTTGTTTATGTAGCGGAGGATCTGGCCTGTCGGACGCATCTGGTATAGGCCGTCGTTGGGAGCGGGCGTGCTGGAGCTGGAAATGACTTGAATTATGCTGCTGATTTTTGAGCCAGAGTCTATAAGCTTCCATTTGGGCGTTTTCCAGCCGTAGATGCTGTGGATGCCCATCTTATCGTCGGGATGGATTGGGTGCATAAGACCGTCGTAGTAGGCGAACATGATGGCTGATGGAACGGTGCTGTGGCTTAGTCCGAGGGCATGGCCTATTTCGTGTACAGCTGTAGTGGAGAAGAGAATGTCGTCTGTCCACTGTTCGTTGTCATTGAAAGTGATGTTGATTTTACCCGGAGTAAAATATACACCATCTGAGTCTATCATTGTGACGGCGACAGTTCTGTTGCTGTTGATGGGCAGGAAACGAATATTTATGTCGGCCTTTACATTTGAAGCTGCTTGGACAATGTTGAGCGGGGCAGAGTTCATCCATTGAGCAAAGGCAGAGCTGGGAGATGTTAGCATCCGTAAAACTTATGGATGGGCTCCATACTGACCCTATGGTACTCAGCTGTCGCTCCTGTGACAGATCGTTTGTATACCTGTCGATGCGCCAAGTCAATGTCATCTTAGCCCACTTCGGACCCCAAAGCGCATATCGTTCCTTGGACTCCTGACCTTCCCCAGTCCCGGTACCAACATACTGCTGTTCAGTTCCACAGCGAGGTCCTTCCATCATAGCCATCATTTTTTCACTAAATTCCCCAGTCACGGGCTCCTTTAGCTTAGCCTGAATCTTACGAATGGCCTCCGGAAGATCACTGTCTGGCACTGAAGTGCCTGGCTTGAACCAGCCGTAGAGCTTGTAGAAGTCATTGACATGATTGGAGTATCTCTTTTGATCGATTTTGGGGGCTCTTGTTGGTGTTCCAGTTGGTGCGGACAGCGAGGAAGTTGGGATGAGGGATGTAGTGGCTCTGCCGACGTTGCGGTAGGGTACCGCCAGACAACAAGATATGAGCCCTAAGAGCAAGGTACCGTTTAGAAACACCATCTTGAGATACTTTTTTGAGGCTAGATGACTATATTTCATTCAAATATATAGTTTCAAGCATGGTTACCTGATCTACCCCTTGCCCATTTCGAACTCATGGATGATGCTTCCGAACGGGCCGGTGACCGGTTTGCGTACCATGAGATGCGTTGGTGTTACCGAAGGATGGTAGCTACTATTGGATCTCCTGTAAGAGGAAGGTACATGGTGTCTAGAACAGCTTTCGCTTAGTTGTTTGCTGTACGTCCTAGTGAAGTGTGGTGGTGTACTGAGTACTTTGTGGAGTGATAGTCCAATGACCGCCAGTGTCTAGATGGAGCCTCGCATGCAGCACGCTGCCGGTGGCTTTGTTTAGTTCACTGTACATGTCTTGGAATATTGGAACCAGTGACTTGTAATATATTGGCGTTGGTGTGGCATTGCGGCGCAGCGGAGGATTCTCGGAGTGGCCACAGCGAGAGATTAGCGAGGCCCAAAGATGCGGCCGCTCAGGTCGAACTGCACATATCGTACGTTCAGCTGAATGTCACGATGTAGTCGGCTATTGACTCGGGAATACTCACGTCTTTAATCTTTCGCCGGCGTCCGAGAAAACTTCACCGGTCGGTTCTAAATCAGACTGGATGTCCGCAGACCAATGCAAATAACGGTCAACACTTGCTCACAAGTAAAGTGAAGAGAAGCAGAACAACGTTTGGAGAGACTTTTCATCTGGGTCACAGGACTCGACCCCTCATGTTCCCCTCAAGCTGGTATTCATTCAATTCCATCTATGACATGTAGCACCTGTCCACCTTGTCGTCACCATATACCTTCCCATGCCTACCTGCCCATGCTGTTAATCATCTCCCTCTGGGTGGCGCGGTCCTTGTTGGCCTGGCTGAGCGACTGGAGACTCCGTAGGTCTCCAACAACGTCCTTGGCCTTGCCAAAGTAGACCTCTTGCAGCAGATTGCGCATCTTGAGCTCCATGTCTTCGACCATCTTGCCGATGTTGGCGACGTGCGAGGTGTCATCCTCAACGGCCATGTCCGCTTCAACCTGGCGTACCATGTTGCCGGAGAGGTCGAGTCCACCGAGTGCTTCGCTGTCGGTGCCGAGGGAGAGGATGACGGTCGATGTGAGCTTGTAGTGTGATGTTCGGGCGCGATCTTGGGCGTCGAAGACGTGGATGCTGTCCCAGCTGCCGGAGCTCTTCGGGGTGGGGTTGACGGCTGTTGTCTGTCTGTCAGTGTCTACTCAGCAACGCGGATACAAGGCGGCATGCATACACTTTTTCAGCAGCACACAGCCAGCGAAGCCATCATCCATATCCCACAGATAAACACTGGATATCCCGCCCTCAAAGTACCTGCCCGCGTCAGTTACCACGACCCCGCCATGGCCACGTCCCCACCCCCCGCATGCAACTCACAATTCTCTGTAGACGTCAAAAGCCTCGTTTGCCTTGACCTCCATCTTACGGACACGATCACTAGGCGTGACACCCTCGTCAATGGGCGGCTCGAACTCGTTGCTCCACGGACTGCGCCAGCTGTCACCGTCGCGGTTGTAGTCGCAGCACAGAAAGTCGCGCTTCGTCTTTGAGCACTTCTTGACAGTCAGGGGAATGTCGACCGACTCGAGCAGGTCCTCTTCGAGTGAGGGGTTGAGCTGGATAATGTGGTCGACATTGCGCTTAACGTCCTTGGGGTCCAGCCGGCGGAGGAGGTCGCTGCAGCTGTGTTAGCTAGAAGAGCAAATCAGGCGCGCGTGCAAAGCAAATAATGGCCTACAGAGCGCTATCAATGGGATCCGCCATTTTTCTATGCTTGGCCAGGAAGAAGGCGGGCGAGGTCAAGGGCGGGTTGCTTGAGTATTGTCGACGAATGCCAGCACCTTCGTATGTCTCGAGCCCCGGCGATTCTGCCGCTTGGATTGGGCGCTGCTCGCGCGAGTCATGGGCATCCCCGCCGGGGTAGCTCATGGTCACGACTACTGGTTGACCACCTCACCTCTGCTTCGATTTTGATATTTGCGAATTTGGATAGTGTTGGAACGAGTATTAGTATTTGTATTCGACGTTTCCAGCACCATCCATAACTTTGGTGGCAACTGCGATGTATTCACTTCACCACGCGGCAATCGCGCCCTTCACCATCCACCAGAAAACAGAGGCTGTTATGCAAGAAAGAAAAGTGCCGCTAAACACCATGCCACAAGTAATCATCGCGCGAAACCTGGGTAGTTCCTCTCTGTCACTTTCTCTACAATCCAATAGCATGCTGGCGGTTTGCTTCCCACACCGATAACATTCAGAATGAGCAGCCTAGGACATTCGTTTTGAAATACACTATACGACGCTTCTTTGGGACAAATTGCAGTAATTTGCAACAATAAATATGCGTGAATCCCTTCCGCCACCTTGCTTGCGTGCAAAATACGGATGCAAACGATGGCATCTCACTTTCACTCCGCCTACAAACTTTACATGCCAGTGCGCCTATCGTCACACAAGCAACTGTGTGCGGCATTGATGAACCTCTCACCGTGAGCATAGAGATGAGTTTGTATGTTGGTGAGCAAATATAGCCCTCCTACGGCACCACAGTGCACTCACCTTCACTGCCTGTCAACGACATCACCACACTAGCGGGACTCATCAGACATATATACTGTCCACCTGCACCTCTGCACCTCTGCACTTCTCCACTCCTCCCATCTCACACGAACACTTTCAAAACATCACTCAGCTTCAACATCAACAACATGTCTGACACCGACAAGACCACTGCTGCCAATGGCTCTGCTCCCCAGTTCACCGAGCGTGAGCTTCAACTCCTGGGTTGGGCTATGCAGTCACTCAAGTCTGGTCCTCCAGAGGTAGGTGATTGCGATGTTATTTCAAGACATGCCTTTTGCTTGCCTTGTCCCTGCACCATGCTGACTCCCATGAAAAGATCGACTACGATAAGCTTGCTGCCTTTGCTGGCATGAGCAACCCGCGCTCTGCCAGCAACGCCTGGGCCAAGATCAAAGTCAAGTTGATAACTCCTGCTGCCGACGGCACTGTTCCACCTACTCCAAAGAAGACTCCTCGCGCTAAGAAGGCTGTTGCTCCTAAGAACGAGGGCGACGAAGTAGATGGAGATGCCATTCCTAAGGCAACGCCTCGCAAGCGTGCTTCTAAGAAGCAGGATGTCGATGGTGACTCTTCCCCCAAGAAGAAGCCTGCTCGTGGCAAGGCAGCTATTAAAGAAGAAGAAGGTGAGTACTTGTTGAGACATGCCATGCAACTCTTGCAATGCTGATTCCATGTAGTTGTCAAGTCCGAGTCTGACGAGGCTGAGGACTCTGCAGACATTGATGCTATCGGATCTGACGAGGAAATTATCGCTCAGGCCTAAAAGCGTCCGAAAACATCAAGGTAAGCCAAACATCAATCCCTTCAACTGCTCATCTACTGACGCCACAAAGTGCTTTTCTTCACCGACGCAGCCTGTGAAACGCATATGGCTATTTGCAACATGACACAGCTGATGGCTTTGGGTACCGGCATAGTATAATCAAGCGATAGCGCACAGGTCAATAAAAATATTTTCTTGCTATTATACGGAGTTTGAACAAATGGGGCAATGAGGCAATGGACATTCACGGTCGAGTAATGGATTACGAAGGAAAATGGACCGTCCAAGTTGGTCTGATTTATCATGGTAGTTGCGGTCGAAACTACATGACTTCAATGCAAACGATTATGAAAAAACACCGGTTCGCTTTTGTGGTTTCCCAAATTTCATGCAAGAATGTTCGCATCCATCTTGTTGACACGAAAGTATACGATATAGTAACCCTACGCGTCGCGTCTAGAATCAATCACACACTAGAGGTTGATTCACTTTCACTACTTCTACTTCTTTCAGCTCGCGTAACCCAAAAAATAAGCCAACACCATTAAGAATTTGCAGCTCCATTTTCTCTACTATTTGTCAGTTCTTCTCATAGTTGCAAAGCCCTTCCTATCAACCATGTCGGATTACACAGTCGCCATGGCTGATAGCTACTCAATGATCATCGATTGGCTACTGGCCTTGATCAGCATTAGTGTCTGCAGCATCCTTCTCTTCCTGATGTTCCTCGTCGTCATCTGTTTCTGGGTTGTCATCGCCTTGATCAACTTCATCAGCACCGTCCTCTTCATGACATTTCTCATTACCATCAGTATCTTGATGAATATTCGTGGAAGTGAAGAGAGTCAGGAATATGGCCGAATTCAAGACCTCTACGTCGATAATATGCCCTCACTTGTTACGACTGACATGCTACCATCCGCATCTACCAGATTGACGTTCAATACAAAACGGTTGCGGAAGCAATCTGGCAAGCGACGAAAAAGATGAATACTAGTCACTGTCCCTGAATGGGAGAGCTTGCTACTAGGATAAGACAGGACACCTTGTAAGCCAACACATTACACATGCAAAACGGCCCCAGCATCATACCAAAATCAGTTCCTCTAACAGTTTCTGCAGACACCAGGTGTACCATCTGGGGAAGCCATCCGATTCATACAACAACGGAGACAATAGGGAAAGGAAGTGCGATAGGGTCGTTCATTGGGCGTAAATTCAGACTGTCGAGATAGCTTGTGTTTCCCATAACTATCTTGAAATAGACAATTTTGCGATGGTGTTCCACTCCAAACATCGGTAACTGCGACATTCCCATCTGGCAAGTCTCTGCCTATTCCAGTCGCTTCTTCGGTTGGACATGTAGCTCAAAACTCAACACTCCCAATTTCTTGCGACAACCTCTCGAGTGCAACCTGACCTCTGCTCTCGCTGAATCTCGTGAAGCAGCAGCGATCCACGAGGCGAATCTCACGAAGCGGAATAAAGCAAGGGCCACCCTGTCATGGCAGCCGTATTTGTGCAAACCAAGACAGTATTTATACTGCCAAGGCATGTCGTTCCCCTCATCTCTCTCTGCTTACTCCAGACCAGCTCCACAACTCACATTTCCAAAGTGACTTTCAAGAGACAGGACTAAGTACACCACCATTCATCATGTCATCGCAGAAGACTTCATCAAGCTCTGGCTGCGGCTCTTCTGGTAGAACGAGCTCTAACGTGACCAACCACGGCATCAACAATGAAGCAAGTCTCCGGACCGCTCGGAATACCAACATCGTGCTGACAATGTTGTTCAGGGAAACCACTGGTGCACTCGTGAAGCTGGCCCGGACGACGTGAACTCGAACCCTTATCACTACTCCAACAGGGACGGCTCATATTACTACAGCAACGCCGACGTAGGTCTAGGAAGAAGGGCAGTGTGGACGTATACTGATGTAAGATCAGGGCTCGAAATACTTCAACGACTGTAAGGGAGGCGCATGGTTTACCCCTCCTCCTCCCAAATAAAACGTGATGGTACTCTGGCAACGCGTGTCCTGGATGAATGGAAAGGCTTCCAGATACAAAAGATGAGCAGAGCAGAGGAAGATATAGATGCATGTTGTACATAGTATGTGAGACCCGTACCGTATCCTAATAGCACCATCCCTCAGCCCATGCGCCTTGCACGCCATCCCGAGTAGGCAATATGCACGAACGACGCCCATAGCGGCACGCCTTCGTGCCCCATCTGCGTCATCTCCCCCTTTTAGCACCACCAGCACCACCACCGCTCACGAACGCACGCGCGGGGACTCCCCCTACGTCATCCAGCTGTCTCCACCCCAGAAAAACCCTCAAGTTCGCATACCACCTGCCGATCCACCTTCACCCCCCATCTTACCGCATACAGCAAGTGTAGAAAACAGGCGTGAAATGGTTATATTAAGTCTCTTTCCCACCCCGCTCACACCGGGTCACCCCCCTCAAACTGTAATCGGGCGGGGGTTTGCAAGCAAATAAAAAAAAACAGGGTGTGCAGATGTTGCACACGCCGTGTGCGCGCGCGTGCATGCCCCCCCCCTTCGGACATACCACGGGAATACCAAGATTCCCAGTCACACACACACACACATCGGTAGTTAGTTTAACTTAACTAGTATAGTAATCAAACTCAGCTTTTTCGGCAACTTTCCCATTTGTTCCCGTAAAACAGCCTATTTTCAGTTTCGGACGAAGAACACGGGACAAACCCAAAGGGAAAGAATTTAAGCTCAAGATAGTTTGACACGCGGACCGTCTCGTACATATGATGAGAAACGAAGGCACAGGGGGGAAGGGGGAAGGGCACGGTGGTTTTTTGCTGCAACGAGTAACTGTGGATTGTAGGCGCTCATCTTGGCCTTGTAGAAATTTCCTTTTAGAGAAAGTCGTGGAATATAGGGCGCGTGCTTGGTAGTTACAAAGGAAAGCTTGTCTTTTCTTATGGTTTCGTTTTTAGGAGGCATCAAGGACACGTTATATGGAAGGGAAACATATTATTTGCTGTGTGCTTTTCCAATTTTACCGCGTGACGGGAATAGAGTTTTTTCTAGGAGGGAAATTGGAAAGGAGATTAAAATTCCGTCTTGAGGCTCGTGTTTTCTTTCCCTTTGTGTGTTTGTCTTCTGCTCTCAAAGATTAACAAGGCGGTTTCGTGGGAAATAGTCTCGTGTACGGGCGTGCACGGTGTGTATGACGAAACAACGAGAAAATCACCGACTACCGTCAAAAGTCTGGTGTTTTTACCCAAAGGAGTAGGTGTGGAAAAGAGGCTCATGGCTTGTCAGACTTGGCTTCTCACCAAACACCAAGAAGCGGACAAAGCGTTTTTTTCTTTTGTGAGTAGTTTACTGCGTCAGGCAGGTGTGGAAAATAGGCGTACAGAGCCTCTTTTCGCTGCGTAGTCATGCTAGCGGAGCCTATGACGATCGGTATCTATGTTGTGACGATCATGTTGCTTTTTTGCTGCACCATGACATGGCATATGCGACGTTGGACATTGGTCGGGACAAGGTTATCAAATTCTCCGACTTGACTCGCGGGAGGGATTCTGGACTTTGTCGGAGATTTTTGAGCGCATCTAGCATGTGCAAACGTCGTGTATACTACATACGTACGTATATTGTACATGGAACATTACAAACGCTGCAATACTACGTAAATTTGCATGTACGTAGGTATGTCGTCTACAGGAAACCGTTCCAAAAAAAAGCCACGGAATCAGCACCGTCCCCTGCATACACCGCAAAACATCCACTGCAGCAGCCACGTCTCACGCGGGTGATATACGTCAACTCGCGCCGCCCAAAAACAAAAGCACGGTGTACACCTTGGCTTACCCAGAACGGCAGCCATGAAAAGTAGGCGTATTCCTTCGCTTTATCTTGCATATTTTCGGCCAGCACTTCCAGCCCTAAATTAACCCATTCCACCCAATCTCTGAAAAAAAGAAATTGAAAAAACCAATACCAAAGGACCGAGTAGAAGAAGAAGGAAAAGCACGGTTGCAGTTACATCTTCGGGAAGCCTTGGCTTTCTGCAAAGTGGAGGGCCAAAGGAAGAACAAAAAATGACGCACGTATCACGAAAAAAAAATTCAATCTTAAGAAGGCAAAACACCAAAGATGCCGAATACCAAGCTTTGCTATATGTTTAACCACGAAGAGTAAAAGTAGAGCAAAATACGAAAGACAAGGCTTGGTGATTATACTGGATTGAGTAGGCATCGAAAATAGGCGTGTAGCTTCTCCTCATTCAAAACATGGCCACCCCCTCCCCCTCCCCTCTTCCTCTCTCCACTCCCCGATCACAACTGCCCGCTCCCGCTGCCGCTCTACCTTCCCCTCATCCCGACAAAGGCCGGCAAAAGTTTTTTTTGCCGCCTCCTCTTATGCCGAGGAATGATGCTGTAGTCATCTCATTGTTGATACCGTGGAATGCGAGTTGTGAGTGCGTAGTTCCGAGATGTAGTAGATTTACGCAGGGTGGTGGTTACTTCCACATGCGCATTTGTAGTTAGTACTACTACGTTGGATATGCAAGTTAGTAGGCGCACATGCTCCAACACGTGCCATACAACCTACACCTTCACTTTTTTCCACCACCACAACCACCACCCACACGCAACCCCTCTACATAGAAATACTTGGAATTACAAAACAAAATAAATAACATAAAAAATAACAGTCAAAACACTCCAACACCCCCAAACCCTCAATCAGTCAAACCTTTCCCCCCCGAATACCCACCTACCCAAAACACCAAAACACACCCGCACTCACCCACCCCAAGACCGACCATCCCAACCCAGATAAAGAAAAACCCCCCGAAAACCTACCAAATCCAGTAACCCATCGAAAACAGGCGCACGTCTTGTGTCTTCTTGGAGCAAAGCTTATCTGCCACGCTTCACGAATAGGAAGCGCGCGGAGCGTGTGTCGTGAGCGCACGACGGTCAAAGTGGAGGGTTTTTGCCGTCTTGACTTTTTTCTTGTCGGAGGGACCCTTGTAGTGATGGGTCCTGGCACGAGTCCGAAAGAGAGGGTGAGATAGAAGAAGGGGGGAGGGGAAGGGGGGGTGGTCATGACGTATGTATTGTGAAGGATACGGGCCGATGAGGGCGGTCAGGTGTGTGTGCGTGTGTGGTTGGGCCGAGAGTGGATATTTGCATATGACACTTGAGGAGTAAGAGGAAGAGAGAGGGTGATGATACTGTTCTTTCATGGAATGAATGGTCATGTACGGATATCGAATCTAAATAAAAAAAACTCTTCAATCCCCAGATGCCGTAACAACAACAACAACAACAACAACAACAACCCGGATTTCCGGAACCTGAAGTGTGGAAAGAAGTGATTGTTATGATTTAAATCCATCAGAAAGACCAAAAAAAACAACGCCTGAGCTATGCAAAAAAAAAAGATGGACTTTCTACGTATTCCACAACCCCAGCAAACGTAGATGTTATTTCGTAAGGAGAACAAAAAAAAAGAGGGGAGAGACGGAAAGATCTCAAAGCTCATCACGAGTGGGAATACGAATTTCCCAAGATTTAGGACCGGGAACAAAGCCCATCCACCAGTTATACGCACGGCGCATCTCAAGGATGAAGATCTTTGTACTATTTAATCCCATTTACGTTAGCATGCCGGCTTTTTCCCTGAAATACGAATCTGCGAGTGAAGAGGATAAACGACTTACAATCGGCCTGGAACCTGGGTCCACTGGTACAATATATAGTAAACGGTGCGCTTCACGAGGTTAAATTCTGCCTTGACTTCATCCCACGCCGACATGTTTCTTGCATCCCAATCGCGTTGAAAGGAAGGAATTTCTTCATCGCCGGTAAGCACGTTGATGGGTTTCGTGTCCTCGGCTTCTTCGAGCGCGAGCTTGGTTTTCAAGACGCCCGAGTCGGTCTTGGGTACAGCAGATGCAGCGTCCTTGGCCACGCCTTCTCGCTCATCAATCATACGGCGGAACTCTTTGATCGCGGAGAGAGAGTGGGAAAGACGGTTCATGGTGTTGACGAGGGCGACGAGCTCGGTGCGGCGAAGCGGCGGGTCCTTGGAGGAGTCATGCTCGTCAAACTCAAAAAGCACCTTGAGCGCTGTTCCGTAGCCGTTGGTCTGGAGCTTACCCCAAAGACGGCACTTGTCACAGCCAACGCAGTCCATGATTCGGCTTACATTCCTGAACCGGTTGCGGAAGTCCTCTTTCAGGGCCACGGTGTCAGGATCCTGGAACATGACTGTCTCGTCGAAAATCTCGGGACCAGAGGGGAGCGCCGAGGCAAGACGAAGGACAGAGTTCTTGGTGCGAAGGTCTTGATCAGGGTCCTCGGAACAGAAGGAGTAGTCGGAAATGTGCTGCCTGATCTTACCGACGGCACGCATAACGAGAGCATAGTTGAAGTAGATATTGGAGATGCGCTCCGGGTGGTTATGGAGGCGCTCTTCATAGCACGTCAGGTTGGGTCCCCACTGACCAGTCTTCTGGTCGAGGTAGTCCCAGCACAAGTGCGTAGATATGGACGCGTGCATGCCCGAGATGACACGATGAAAGACGCGCTTCTCCAGGCAGGTATCGTCGAATTCAATAGGGTCAAGGCTGTTTACCGGTGATCCTTGAGCAATAGCAGCCTGAAACTTTTGCTTTTGGCCCTGCTCTTGTATGACGTTCCGGAGCTGGTTAGCCGCTTGCATCTGTTGCTGGTTCCCAAAGGCGCCAAAAGGCGAGTTGGGTGGAGACGACCCGCCGGCCGCTGGTGCATTCTTCGGGGGCTTGCTAAAGCAGTTCTCGCGGTATATGGCCTCCCAGACTTGCTGAGCTCCTACACCTGCGTATCCGGTGAAACGTTCTGGGTTGTCTACGAGCGAGACGTAATCGCCCTTCGCAGTCGCCGACTCATCATCTGGTATACAGTAGTCGCGCTCGTCGCATTCGTCGTCGTACTCCACCACACAGCTCTCATCCACATCTTCTCCCAGTTCTCCCTGTAGCGGCCGCTTGGGCTCTTCCCTTTGCTGTTTCTTTCCCGGATGTTGTGCGGTCGGTCCCTCGAGTTTACCCAGCTCCTTTGCGCGCCAAACCAGCGGTATGTCCTCCTCATTGTCTAGTGTATTGACCGCACATGCCACATTCCCGCACATGCCATTCTCGTCGTCCCAGAACGGGCATTTCTTGCTGTACAGGCTTAATCGGTAATGTGAGAAGAAGTCGGTGTTTTGGGTAATGGACTGGAGGTAAGGCTGTATGGCGTCGTTTAGCTGCTCGAGGGTGCTGTAGCTTGCGCAAGCGTCTGATACTATGGCTCCAGGCGATATCTGGAATGTAGGTTTAGCACTCTGGCCCCAGGCTCGAGTCGGTGTACATGAAGATGGATTGCTTACGTCGCAAACGTTTGGAGGAGGACTTTGCGCCTTTGAAGGCGCAGCATGGCTTGTAGCATGCGTACTACCCAACAGCGCAAAGACTGTTAGGTAGAAGACATGCGCCGCTGAGCGCATTGTGGTGCAATTGCGGTCGTATTACTAGTCCTCCGGTCAGCAAACGTTTGCAACAGAGCGGTCTCTGCGACGTGTGTAGATGCCAAACTTACAATTAAACGTATCCCGAGTATATGAGGCCCCCCGGGAAATTAGCGGCCGATGAATCGTGTGGGGAATGCAAAGAGGCCAGCGTGTATGTATCAAAGAGGGCGATTTGATCCCAGCGAGGATCCTGGTTGTGGCGGTGCGGGTTATGCTCTGTTTGGGAATTTCAGACTCGAAGCAGATTAATTTCTCGACCAGACACCAGTCTTGGCTCGAAACCCACAAAAGAGCGGAAGAAGCCAGACGCAGCAGGAGCGAGTATATAATATATTAAAACCCATACCCCTGGCTCGTGGTTTCTAATCACACGTTGATGGGGCCACTGCAGCTTGTAGCAATGTGGCCTATTACTTTAGCAGAGTGTGGCGGTGGACCCGGATGGACACATGCAAGGTAGCCATCGGGGCAAAAAGTCGTGAAGTAAGACGGACTATTTCTTTGTCCACCGCTTCTTGGATGAAACACAGCAATCATCAAACGTATCCACACACCCACAAAACAGTAAGAGATAACAAGTTGTTCTAGTTCGCCTGCCATCGTCCTTTCTAAACCATGGCCAATACCGCCCAGCAACCCACGGCTAGTTGGTCCGACGCCTTCCCCGCCCCCCGTATCACTCCGCCCGCCATATCACGCGATGAGGTCTTGTCAGACCTCTCGTCTCCCGATCTCCTCATCGTAGACGTGCGACGCACCGACTATGAAGGTGGCACTATAAAAGGAAGCATCAACCTGCCTGCACAGTCGTTTTACCTGAACAGGGGTGTCTTCTACGATCTGTGCAAGCGCGCGGGCGTCACCAGAGTTGCTTTTTACTGCGGTGAGTCCATCACTTTTTCGTCTCAACGTGATGCTTGGATGGAAAAAGAATGGTGCTAGTGGCGTGAGACACATACCACCTGTTGAAATACGAATACATACGTGTGCACAAATCTGTAGGCAATGTCGGCTGAGACACGCTAGGGTCATGCAACGGAAGAGGGCCAAGATGCTCGGGCTGGTTCGCAGATTACATTGCCGAAAAGGGCGATGACAAAATCAAGTCGTTGACATTGGCTGGTGGCATCAAAGGGTGGGTCAAGGCTGGCGAAGCTTTTACGCAGAACATGGACGCCTTCGAACCAGAGTATTGGAAGCAATTCGACTGAGATTTACAAAAAAAAATGGCGGGGTACCAGTAGTAGGATTAGTTACTTTGTTGGGTAAGAAGTTGGTGTTATACACGATCTCTGTATATCTCCAATACTTCCACCCAGAAATCTACGCGTGCCCGTCATATCTGTTTGTTCATTCATCGTCTGTATCATCATCAATTATCCGTCTAGGCCTCTTCCTGGGCAAGACAGGCTCATCATCCTCTAATTCAGAAGCCGAGTCTACAACGACCAATTGCTTCCTGGTCGCACCTGCCACAAGTTTAGCGAGCGGTGCATCGTCATCGCTATCACTACTGACAACCGCATCATCGTCTGTAGCGTCGCTTGTAAAAATCTTCTGTCTTTTTGGGGTCCTCTTGGGGCGGCCAGCCTTAGCAACTGCCTGTGTTCCTGCTCCAAAGCCAGAAAGGTCAAGACTGGGTAGACTCGAAGTTGGAGCTACCTCTTCTTCCTCTCCTTCAACAATGAAGCTGGCAAGCTCAGAGTCCAACAGATATGCCTGCGTATCTTGCGGTTCATCCTCACCTAGCGTATCATCCGATCCAATCGTATCAGCTTGAGATGCGACTCGGAACCGAGGGTCTGTTGGCGGCGGGGAAGATTCATTGCCCTCTTGAGCGAGTCCAGATACACGCCAATTAGGCGTCTTTGTTCTTGGCGTTTCGTCATACGCTATTGACTGATGAACAGGCGTTTGTATGATAGTACCAACTTTCTGTGGCCGACCACGAGGTGCTGGCGTTTGTGGTGTTTTCGGAACCAAATTCTCTTTCGATCTTGGCAAAGGTTTCTCTTTCGGCTTTGGCATCGCTTTCTCTTTCGGTTTTGGTATCGCCTTCTCTTTCTGTTTTGCCGGCGCACTTGCTTTTGGTTTTGGCACAGATTTTGCCTTTGTCTTAAGCCCTTGAGATGCTGGTTGATCATCTTCCCACATGTCGTCGTCAATGACAAATGCGGGTTCTGGTTCCGGGACAACAAGATCGTCCCCAATGTCTGATTCGCAGTCAGAAAAGTGTAAGTTGAGCTTGAAACCATCAAGACGATTGTGATCCATATCGTGCATGCGTTGCATCATGGAAGCAAATGCTCGCGTAGCATAGCCTGGGCCAACCCGGCGAGCTGAGTAAGGCAAGATTCGTTGTCGTCCAGGATATTTCCCCAAGTCGAGTACATCTACCATAGGAGCATCATCGTCGTCAAATACTGTCTGGTATCTTTTCTCAAGATCTTGGGTTGCGTCATCGCTGAGAAGTACCTCCTCCAATGAGGGCATCACGAACGGCTCCTCACTCGGATAACTAGGTGCGGCTGCTTTCTTTCCGCGACCGTTTGGCACAATTTCCTCGTCCATCCGACCTGCAGTGACGAAGCCAGTGATGACGTTGTCGGGCATATGGAACTTCTTCTCGGGCTTCTTGGCGCGCCGTCCTTTCTTCGGTTCTGGAAGCCAGTCTTGTGAATTTTCAACTGGTATGTCCACGACACGCCGGTCGACAACGGGCTTTACATCCGCCGGCAGGATTCTGCGAGATATGTCGTCGTGGAAGTTGAAATGAGTGCCCGCAGCAATGAGCTCTTGCATCTTGAGGTAACTGTTGTTTGCCTTATTCGCATCGTTTTCTTCCTTGCCTTGCATTTGGAGCATGACAATTCTTCCCTCGCGCTTTCTTCCCGTACGACCCATTCGTTGCAGCATACGAATAGGTGATGCTTTTGAGTCGTAGCAAATAATGAGATCTACCTCACCGATATCGAGACCCTCTTCACCGATCGAAGTAGCAATGAGTGTGTTGAATTCGCCATTCTTGAACCTCTCAATAGCCTCCAACTGGTCTTTCTGCTTCATGCCTTCTGAATTTTTCCCGTGTGCTTGTCCGACAAAGATGCGCGGACGAATCATTGGCTCATGTCTCTTCAGAATGCGCGCAATTTCTTCAGCACTGTCACGGAAATGTGCAAACACCATGATCCTCGTTTGTGAAGAGGCTGCACCATTGGCGCCCTGACCGTCGTCTGCATTGACAAAGTGGTCTAACACAACTTGCTGTAGATACTCCAACTTTGGATGGCCAACAAAGTTCTCATCGGTCATCCACACTTGAAGACGTCCCATAAGCTTTTTCCAGGCATCGCTGTCGAGAATCTGTTTCTTGTATTTTGACTTTGTCTTTGCACTTTCGTCTTGAAATTCCTTCATCTTGATATAGAAAGGACCTACACCATGAAATTTCAATAGATCCATTCCGTGCGAGATGGACGCAAGAATCGCAAAGATGGTGTGCACAGTGCTTTGGAGGCCCCGATTTGCGTTACGTCCGGCTTCTTGGAACCATTTCTTCTTGGCTTGTTGGCAGCCAAAGGGCGTTAGATCGCGGGGGTCCTTGCTCCAGTATGCATTCAAACCAGCAATTGTGTTCACCAAGGGCTGCAGAGCCTCGCTGTAGAGGTCCATACACATCTCCATCTCGTCGGTATTCTGAAAAACTTGCTTGTCAATCTTGCGCTGATGTACATAGCTGCATATGTCCATAGAGTTCTCCGTCCGAATCTCCACCTTGGAAATATCGAGACCGTCAATGACCTTCTGCACGGACTCTACATCTGCACCAGGCGTGGCTGTCAGTGCCAAGACACGGAAGCTAGTATTGAAACGTCGGAGGAAGCTAACGACCTCGACGTACGCATATGCACCCGTGGCTCGGTGAGCTTCGTCGACCACCAGTAGTACAATCTTTTTTGGATCTGCATATCCAGCCTTCAAATCGTTCAAAAGCGTCTGGGGTGTCATGAAGAACACTCTCTTTTCCTTCCACTCTTCAGCTCTTAAACCTGTTTGGACGCCTCCCGTGAGCATTGTAGTATATGAGCGGGGTATACCTGCAATCTTGAAGCATGCCTCGACTTGCTGGGCTACCAGAGGTTTAGTAGGGGCGACAAAGACGATCTGAGAGTCGACCGTCCATCGGAACCAGTTGAGAATGATAGTCGCTGCGATAAAGGTCTTACCAAGACCAGTAGGGAGAGCAACCAGTAGGTTATTGAAGAGGCCTCTTTGAACAATGTTGAACTGATAGTCTCGAATGGTACCTAAATTCGTCGGATAAACCCATGTTTTGATAGCTTCTGCGTTCAGCTTGTGGTGAGTTGGAGGCTCTGCTTTCTGGTCAACGACGAAGCTGTAGCGCTTGTTTACCTGAGATTGCGATGTACTGCTGTTGGCGCCAACGGATCCAAACAACGTCGTCTGTCGTAGGCCTGTCTGAGGTGCCACGGGACGCTTGCGAGCACTGGCAGTCTCGGACTCAGCTTGCTTCTGCGGAGACGAGGATGAAGAAGCGAACGCATCAGACGGAAGGTCTGCTAGGTCTTGTGTGAAGTCATACTCAGCAGTCACAGTGCCCCTTGTACGTTCTGATAGAACTGGCAATCGAGGGGACTCGTCCAAATCAATAGTCGAATCGAATAAATCTGGAGATGGTGGTGCTTGTGGTGCTGGTCGAGACGATATCGACTTCCTACCAGGCAGAGACACGGTCTTGGTTGCACTTAAGTCGGGCCCCTTGACTGACCCAGGTGGTTTGTGTACACCTATGGTGGTGGATTGCTTTGCCCATATTGCACCTCTTGGCTTCCAGGGTGGCGAGTGTTCCTGTGGCGGCTGCGTGTAAAAGACGTCTGGCAGGTCTATATTTGTGGTTGGAATGTGGATGCGTTCCTGTCGCTTATTTGCTGTTGTGGATTTTGTAGGTGATGCAG